TTTATAAAACGGGTCGAGAACAGTTGACTTTTTGAAACTTTGTAGTTCCACGTCAGAGATAATAATCAAGTTTATCGGCTTCACTAATGATACTCTCCAATTCAACTTGTATAATATATAAAGGTTGGTTATGTTAGATTAGATTGCATTAGGTGCTCTCATCAAATTTATCAAAGAGTTGTATTCGAAAGTCTCGTTAGTCAAACAAACAAAAAAATCTTGATTCATATCTCTGACGAAAGACTAATACCCTTCAAGTTGACTACTGTCCTCTACAAATGTGTTATTTAGACAGCTGGAAGTAATATTGTAACAACAGAAGACAAGGGTCAGGCAACAGATCGTTTATTAAGGAAATCAACACATATTTATAGATTTTCATGTACATATTATAGATTATTGTTAGCAGAAAAACACAGTCCTCTGATTGGTTGTTTCTCATAAAAAGTTAACCTTGCATCTCTTTGTGACTGTTTCTTGAATGTCAGATCATCTATATGTTAACTACATCCGCCTACACAAAGCCTTTGATCTCATTTTTCTCACGACCAATATTGGGGACATAAACATTGACGTAAATTACTGTCCACCAATTTTGACTAACAGTATGAATCCAGCACATTTTGAAACGTCGCCGAGTGTATCACCAAATAGAGTTATCTTCCTAATAACTACAAACGAGAAGACAGTTTAAGCAGTTTTTGTAGAAAGTCTTCTAGTAAAATGCATCTCATAACCTAATTCCACACAAATTTACGTGGAATGGCCATACTCTGAGAAAACCATCAAGTGACATCACACGGCAGGCCATCGTTCGAATGGAACCTGAATTGGAAGCGGCGAGTTAGTCGTCAGTGCGAGGATGACATGGAGGAGGTCATGTGAAGAAAAGATGAAAGTATATGGGCAGATGTGGAGCCAGTTGAAAACGTTGGCAGAGAACCGAAGGTAATGGAGAGGTGCGGCTGAAGTCTATGTTCCTCTGGGAATTGAAGGAAACAATAATAATGAAACAAAACAGAATATATCCTCCTGTTTTGTGAAGTCAATGTCGTCACTAAATATAAAAAAGTCTAATCATGAAGCTTTATACTGTATATTTTGTTCAAGTTGAAACAATTGTTGTTCTTCAGTGCTTAAAATAACCAAATTTCTGTGAGTAAACTAGATAAAAAATCTGCAAATATCGCGAGGTATCATCCCTCCTCTAGCTGTAATCCTCAAAAAATGTGAGGATATTTTATGTCATCCTGTCACTGGCATTTTCAGTGAATCAAACTTTGCACATGCTTCTTCTACGGATATTAAAATTGTTCCTGTGCCTAAATCACCAAGTGTTAAAATTAGACCTATTACCAGGGTGGTGAGAGCTAGCTTTTAGCCAAAATTGGTGGAAAGTAATTTACGTCAATGTTTATGTCCCCAATATTGGTCGTGAGAAAAATGAGATCAAAGGCTTTGTGTAGGCGGATGTAGTTAACATATAGATGATCTGACATTCAAGAAACAGTCACAAAGAGATGCAAGGTTAACTTTTTATGAGAAACAACCAATCAGAGGACTGTGTTTTTCTGCTAACAATAATCTATAATATGTACATGAAAATCTATAAATATGTGTTGATTTCCTTAATAAACGATCTGTTGCCTGACTCTTGCCTTCTGTCGTTACACCAGTACCTCACCATTTTTAAAAATTATGGAAAAACTGTTTTCACTTAACCTCGAACATTCATTGAAGGCTTTCAATGCTTCTAAACAATTTCCTCATAAATATGATAGGTGTATATTTTAGATGTTACTATTGTCTTCCGTCATAATATTTTCTCCAATGTAAACAGTGATGCCATATTTTATTTTTTAAAATTTTTGGTTTTGATTTCAGCCACCGACGCACAGTGGTGTTTGGTGTGCCTTTTTTTGAATACACATCCACCCTTGACTCGGCACCTGGGCCCCTTGTCTCGTGCAAGCTCGCGACAAAAATAGTAGGGTGCTAGATTAATTAATGCCTGTATCCTTACTTTTCTATTAGGAAGTAACATGTGCTGTATATGAGCGGAAATCCCCCACTACTTTAATTATTCTAGGCAGTTTTTCGCAAGGTGCTGTTCTATCTCCTGTTCCACCTTCTTTCTTCCTACACGACGTGCCTCATTCTGATGAAACCAATATTTTTTACGTATTTCGATGACCCTAATGTTTCCATACCGGTCACATCTCAATCATGTTGTTCCAAAATCAACGACATTTTATCAGAAATTCGTCAGTGACCGTTGTCGAATGGATTGTAGGTAAATCCCTCCAAATGTCACAATGTTAAACTTCACTTTTAGATACAAGAGTGACTTACATGAACTGCTTCGTTCCCATAATTCTGGTGTCAGAGATGTCACTGAAGTTGAAACTAAGCCGAATGTTAGACATTTTAGATTGTCTATTTCCTCTGATCTTTCCTGGTCTTCTCACATTACGTTAGTTTCTAGAAAGACATTCCTTTTAACGTTCTACGTAAGGAAGTTAAGACAATCTAATGTCACTCAGTCTGTATTGTTAAGGTTTCTTAATTCTTGTATTCTACCTATTCTTCTTTATTGCTCGCCCTTAATCTTTTCTGGGCTACTTAAGAAAGACTTTGTTATTGTGTGAAGGATACTAAAAGCTCTCTATAGCAGGGTGAGTTGATGGGGTGTCGTTAAACCAAATTGTTAATACTATTGTAGGTAGACACATTGACTCATGCATGAAATTAGCTAATATTACCTTGTCACACCCTGAGCATCCTCTTTATTCACAATTCTCACCTTGCATCTCATCACGTGGGACTAGAAGCAACTATGAATGACTATATGCTCGGAGGAAAAGTACAGAAACTCTAGGTTACCTTATTCGTCACACATTTTATGTGGTGAAAGGAGTGTAAGACATGATGTCATTGAAGTTTCTGAGAAACACTAAGTAAACGGTTCTCTTTAGTTTTTTTCTTTCATCGGTTTCTGAATATTATTATTATTATTATTATTCATGTAAGTGTACTAACATGGGTGTTGTCTTTGTGTTGGTATCATTTTCAAAATAAAAAGATTGTGTGTTGACACATCTCTACTCAGAAAATAGTTGATTGTATATCTGTGGACATTAATGTCATTTACACCTACTTACAAAAATATTAATTAACTATCTACTAGCGTAACAACTGAAGTCATTGGAACTCTAATTTCTCATATAATAATAATTTGAAATGAATGGGATTTTAATATATATATTTTTTAAACACTAGTAAATATTGGAAGCATTTGACTAATGTGGTCAAAGTAGTGATTGATAAATACAATATTTGTTGTACAAAAGTGTTAAGAATATTAATTCCTTGTCTAAAGTATAGACATACACTGAAGCGTGAATTTATTGACACCACCATGCCATATCAGTTAATCACGTAGATGTAGACGTCAATAAACCTATTTTTTCACTGACACTATAATACTACTGATTGTTTGAAATGAGTAATTCTATATGTCACTTAAATCAGCCAGCAGTAATGTTCACCAGTCAGATTGAAAACCTACTTGGCGTTGGGACCAGGGTGATCACGAATGCCCTGGCCCCAGGTGGAGACTCGCCTTTACACTTCGGTGTGTTGAAGCCTGCGACGATCCCTGATCGGGCTCGCTCGGACGCGTAGTTTTTGCTAGTAGGAAGGTCTTCGAATCATCCCTTCAGGAAATTGTGCGTCGGCGGCACAGTGGTTAGGAATCTCGCCGACCATGCACATGGTCCGGGGTTCGATTCCCTGCCGACACACACACCTGATATCTATGGTCGGCCTGCGAAATTCGGGCTACCGATATCACATGCTGAAAATTCCATACCTGTACCAAAAATACGGTGTGGAATCCAGCTGAAATGAAAAAAAGTGATCTAAACACCATGGGACGGTCGTTTCGTTCATTTGAAGCTGATCTGATCAGTGGTGTGTGCGCCCGGTTAAACTCAGCTCAGCTCAGACAGTTGAATCAGTTCAATCAACAATATGTTAAGCTTTATTTTTAAATATGCTGATTCTCTTAATTAACATTTATATTATCAAGCAGATCACAGTATATTCAATCTAAATGATTTCGGTGTACAAAGCAAAACTATGGTAACATTTCACCTCCTCAAAGTGTTTGAATTGCAAATTATGAATTCGGTCAGTCGATAAACCTAACGGAATGGGGGATGTGTTTCATTAACTTAAGCACTTGACTTCCAGCCAGAACGTCGCGGCTTCGAGTCCTGCTATGGCTACGTCAGCCTTGGTAACTGAGTAGTATTGTCACACCTCATACATTACACACTACAATTTAATATTTGATATTAGATAAAGTCTCTTAACAAGAAGCTTTGCATTACATAGGATTCATATTTATTGACTGGCATTTACGGGTGAAATATATCTGCGAATAATTACTTGATTAACCACAACTTCGCATCATCACAAGTCTTCCTACACTGAACTAGACCTATGCACAGACATAAACAGGACAACACACTGACACGCGCACACACAGAGATGCAACTGGAAACACTTTTTCATCATAGATGGGAGTGCACGCACCCATGGATATATACAGACGTCAGTGTGCATATTTAATTCACTTTATTTTATACGATATGTCGGTAGGAGTGAGTATACTCGATAGTGGAGTTCTCAAAAATAGAATTTTCACATAAATCTCACATGGTTTACTTTTTTGGTACCGAAATCAGTGTGAAATTTGATAAAGCTGAGGATAATTCACACTCAGAGAATCAAGAATAATTTAGCGAGTAATCAGTGTGTTAGTGGAGTATTCTATAAAATAACTTGTTTAAAATTTGAATCAAGAATTATGAAGCGTGAATTTAAACATACAACTGGAAATATTTAGTAATGTAATGTTTTATAAATCTCCAACATAATAAATGAATCCTTATAGTGTATACTACTTGTAAGTAGTATAAACTTATTTAGTAAAAATGTTATTCACTTTACTTTGTATTGATGAAAATAAAGTTGGTTATACTAATCATATGTAATAAATACTACGCTAAACATACTTTACTTTCTTGTATATATTTATTCTTTCCGTAGAATTCATCATATTTGTTGAACTCATTAAGAAGTTTACAACAATGTGTGTACAATAATAACATATCATCGTTGTGTTTAATCATTCAGATTCGTTCAGACAGTGGAAGTTCTCAGGTTGGTTAGTTATATTTATAACTTTTCTCAATATTGATAAATATTGTTTGACCATTTTTTTTGTATAATTTAATATAATCCAGATCAAAATGTGGCCTTTCCTGTGGTTTGGGACCGAACCTACTCAGGGGCTGTCTACAGTTCAGGATTTAGATATGAATGTACCATACTCGGTTTAATTAACAGGCATTAGTATCTAGTATGAATGGATACTACCGAATGGTTTCAGTATAGGAGTTTGCATAGAAGTGTAGCAGGTCGAATTGTCACATTCCATAAAGCACACAAAGGAAAGCAAATGAAAAAAAAAGAGATTTGGAAGTAAGACTATAATCAAAAGTATCTGGGGAAGAAAAAACAGTGATATAGGAAAACAGTAAATAGGATTTCCTTCTGGATATATCAGATCAATGAGAGTGAATGCTTTTGCTCGACTAAGAACGATTTTGAGCCATATCACCAAGCAGATATGTAGTGGACAATATCTTCATTTGAACAGTTTTGTTCCTATACAGTATAAATATTCTCTAGTGAAATGGCTGTTTTCAAAAGCTCGTATACTTTTTGCACAAGCGATACATTAATCGATGAGCTACGGCGTATGCGTTCAGTTTTATTGGCTGAAAAGTTTCCTGAAAACTTCACTTACTAATTCTTGAAAAAAAAATTAACTCTGTAATGTTTCTAATTAATTTGATTGAAGTTCAGTAGACTTTGTTGTAATATATTATTATAATATTGCCCTCTTTGGGTCCCAAGTGGAACATAGAGCTTCAACAACACACCACTTCATGCTATTCTCTCATGTCTTCTTCATCTGGCTAGCCCTACGTTTGCCCAAAATCTCTCATCTCCATGTCACCGTCACACCGATGACCCATTTGTCACTTCTCATTTGGATTCCACTCAATCAAGGGCCTGCACTGCGCGCGTTGTCATTCGACGGCCTCTTCATCATACGTCCAATCTATTTCCATTTTCTCCTACATATTTGTTGAGCGATTAGCTCTTGATTGGATTGTTTCTGGCCTGTGGGTTGACCATTTGATCTTCAGTATGGAGTCAGCGAAGGCAGCTGTTGGTAAAATTCTGCAACCTGTTGGAAATGATTCTCGTGACGTGATGGCCAAGTTTCTGACCCATATAGAAGAATTGACTGACTTCACGTTTGTGTTGAATCTTGTTCTTTATGCTGCAGAGTGCAGGAGATTTCCAAGCTGATATCAAAGGGATGAAGGCGTATCTTGTCTATAGGATTCTTACTTCTTCATCCACCCCGACTATCTGTGGCTGAAACGATACTTCCTAGATAAGTGAAGCGAGTAACCTCTGTTAAATCTCTCCGGTTGATGGTGATTAGTGCTCTCTGTTGTTGTTATTTCTGTTCGTTGGTTATCTTCATCACCTCTGTCTTCTCTGTGTTCACCTGAAGTCCTATCTTCGTCGCCGGCTTCTTCAGCCAGTCTATTGGTTTTCGCTTGTTAGTTTTCAAGTTTGTGTGTGCGTCGGTGGCATAGTGGTTAGGACTCTCGTCGACCATGCACATGGTCCGGGGTTCTATCCCCTGCCGACGCACACCCGATATCTATGGTCGGCCTACAAAATTCGGGCTACCGATATCACATGCTGAAAATTCCATACCTGTACCGAAAATACGGTGTGGTGTCAAGCTGTAATCAAAATCAAAATAAATTAAACATAAATCATCCACGCAAGAAATCCAGATCTTCTAGAGTCTTCTTATTGGTGGTTCAGCGTGGTCCTGTCTTCTCACTCCTCACAGTCTGACGCATAGTCCAGTCCACCACAATTGGGAATATCATTGGCGATAATAGGCAGGCAGGCAGCCAGCTTGTCTTACTCCTATATTCACTTCGAACGCCTCACTGCGTTTCTCATTGTGAATCAACTGACACATGGCATTGTCATGTAGCTTTTTAATGAGTTTGATAAATACTTGGCGCACTCCCACTTCTCAGTCAATGCTGTTGAAGGGATTGCCGAAGTCGATAAAGTTAAGATACATGTTTGACTGTCTTTCGATGCTTTATTCTGTGATAACGATGTGGAGAGTTGCGATTTGAACAGCACACGTTAGTATATATATTATTGTCTTTATTTTACAGAGATGGCTTGCTCGTCAACGTTCTGATCCATATGTTAAACGTGCACGAATTGAGAGTTACAGATGTCGTAGTGCATTCAAATTATTACAGTTAAATGATAAAATTCATGGGGGATTATTTAAACCTGGTGATATCGTTGTCGATTGTGGTGCTGCACCAGGATCTTGGTGCCAAGTTGCTTCATCTTTTGTCAATCCTAGTCTAGTAGGTAATCATAGTGGTGGAGGAGGCGGCAGTGAAGAAGACAAACAAAATTCTGGTTTAGTAATTGCCTTCGATTTATTACCATTTGCTGATCTACCTGGAGTTATCTCCTATCCTGGCACCGATTTAAACAATTGGTCTGAATGTGTCAATTTAATCAATCAATCAGTTTTAAATCATTTAACTAACAATAGACTACACCGTCATAGTGGTCGAAAAGATCCACTTCCAGCTGTTGATATTATTCTCAGCGATATAGCACCAAATGTATCAGGAATGCGAGATATCGATATACCAGCAATGATGAAATTAGCTCTCAATGTATTACGTGTAAGTTTGTGCAGGATTTTTTTTTTTTGAGTAGGCGTTTTCTCATTTCTGATATGAAAATAATACATTTTTTTGTTATCATGCCTTTGAATTCTTAGTGGAGTATATAGGGCTTCAAGATTTCAAGTGTCAGTAGAGTTGTAGTTGATATCAGTTAGAGAACCATTGAAAACCAGGGAGTACTGGACAGCTGCTGTTTCATCCTAGTTTGGGAATCATCGGCAGTACACACCCACCATTAGAGTTCGAACCCAGGACTTTTCGGTTAAAAGGCAAGCACGTATACCATTCAGCCACTGGGACCCGATTCAATAGCTCGTGAATTCTAACTTCTACCAATTCGTGATTTAGCCCGACCCCAACCATTGTCGTTGGCGGGACATCCATCCACACACGTGACATCTAATTGGACCTCACTGGTCACGACTTCTCACTAGAACTCAGGAAACTCCAACCTGTAGCAAGTCACTAGCGAGCATCAGATTAACTTTCTATAGTTTTGGTTTGTAAGGATTAGTTATGTTTTACGAGTTAATCACGGATTGATATCAGTCAGACTTCACGAGCTATTGAATCGGGTCCCAGTGGCTGAATGGTATACGAGCTTGCTTGTAACCGGAAGGTCCTGGGTTCGAATCCCAGTGGGTGCGTACTTCCGATGATTCCCAAACTAGGATGAAACAGCAGCTGTCCAGTACTCCCTGGTTTTCAATGGTTCTCTAACTGATATCAATCTGTGATCAACTCGTAAAACATAACTAATCCTTACAAACCAAAACTATAGAGAGTTGTAGTTGTTTTTTTCTACAGGTTGTGGTTGCTAAACTCACGCCCAAACCTCTCTATTTTTACCGGACTCCCTATTGGCTTGTCAGCTAAGCGAGGTTTAAGAGTGCATCAACTGGGAATTGAGCCTGGACCTTTCGTGAAGTTGTTGGTGAACATTCTGTCACTGATCCCATCGATACACTGGAAATGTGTTGCTCAATTTCATTTTTCGGATTTATTATTTGTTGTTTCAAATTCCAGTCGAATTACCAGTAGGAACACATACAGTGATGTAGTCAAAAACATAATTTACAGTCTATTTGAAGCAATTAATTCCCTTTATGAATTTCGAGAACACAATAAGCAGATGTAATTTATCTGAAACGTGTAATATATTGGCGCAACACATTTCGGACATTCTGATCACACACGTACCTGTCATACACAGTTTTTATAGAAGGCATGCATAATTACAATACAGGTCAGATTGTGTACAGGTCAAGGTCACAAATAATGGGTAGGGAGACGCAAAAGGTGTGGGTAAGAAAGATAAAAAGAGAAAAAAACAAGGCAAAGAAGGGGTTGAAAATATCATGAAGTAAATTGGTCTTTGGTTCTAAATTGGATTACCAAGGCAGGCTTAAGGTGATAACAAATAACTTTTGGACACATAAGACAGATCTAAGTCTTTTTATGGCTAAGGCTTCAATAAATTTAAGTATGTGACCCAACCTTGTTTTATATATCGGCTTAAAGGCATTGTTAAAATCAACCTTATGATGCGTCTCTATAGCATGCTTCGCTTTAGATGATGTTGGATATCTATTTCCGGGGTTAGCTGTGTCTGGCGATTTAATTTGTTGTTGCAGCCACTTTGGAATGTGTTCTGTAGCCCTAACCTACAGAGACCGATTGGGTCCTCGCTATGTACATGTATTGTAATTATGCATGCCTTATATAAAAACTGTGTATGACAGGTACGTGTGTGATCAGAATGTCCGAAAGGTGTTGCGCCAATACATTACACGTTTCAGATAAACTACGCCTTCTTATTGTGTTGTCGAAAGACAGTCTATTTGTATTTGTCATTATTCACTTATTATGTAGGTAAACTCTTCTCACTTGTAATGTTAAAGTTTTATACCATTCTTAAGCTGAATTAATGGTAATAATAATGATAGTAATAGTAATCGCTTTATTACAAACAATACAGTGTGTTGTACCATTCCGCATGTAATACAGTTTTCCATATAATTTTCTCCTTTCAATGGTAGTAATTAAAACAGGACATTTAAATCGACAATATTCTTAGATAAGAATATGAATATAAACTTAAGGTTTCAGTGAAAATATGAACAACAATATAATAATGAAAGAAAAAATAAAGAGAACCGTTTACTCAGTAAGTTAGCAGTGTCAAGCCTTCTCTCACCCCTCTCACCAAATAAACTGCTGCTGGTCGTTGTTCGATATCTCATTCTGTTGTTCCCTAATTGTCTTATTGATCTCTTCCTAATATCTGTTGCTGACTTATTTCATACGGCACATTTTTTGATGTATATACTGTACCAAATTTGTCCTCAGTCATTAGCCCCTCACATAATAATACTCATTTGAGGTGATTTAATCTGTGTAAACATTATTTTGTGAATAATAACTCGACCGTTCTTCTTATTGTACATTTATAAATAACACAATCTGAGTCTCTTTTATTGCAAAGCATAGGGTGTTTCATGTTTAAAAATAAGGTCAAAAAGAAATGTGTCACTTGTAATATCATCACTGTTCGTGAGAATGAGTGTGCGATTAGATTTCCTCATGGTCAGTTGTTTTATTGGTAGTATGAGGGATGGGATACTTACTGCCTGGGTGCCCTGATCAGAGCAGGCAGTTGTCATAAGTGACCACCTCCCAAGCCTTTGCCGTGGAATCTCATCCAACAGAATAGCGTCAGGAGCTACTTTTTCATGGTTCCTGGTCCCAAATAAAGGTTCGATCCATTTGGATTCTGGAGCTCATGTGCACAATAGTAACTGCTTTTAGTCTAACAGCTATCCAAATAACCTTCATGGCATGGTAGAACTTTCAGGAACATAAATCCCGGCCAGTGTAGCTTGTTGTAGCTTGTGGTGTGCAAGCCACCCGATCACCACATCAAGGTAGTAGTTGGTGGCTTGGATATATCAAAGGTTTCCGTACCGGTGTCTGCTCGCTAACCCTGGGTGGGATGTACAAGGCGGAGAGGTGGTCAGCCTATGATGTAGCACCGTGGGATGAAGTATATTTGTGTTAGGTTAGCATCGGTTGGTACATCACAACTTCCAGGTTGAGGCCCAAGAGATAGCTCGGATCGTTATCGGATATATAGCCAAGAATCTTAATCAATAGCGAACATACTTCAATTTCCTTCTCTTTCTAACAGTAATACGATGAATGTTGTTTGGTCTTGTTAAATATGACTGCTTCCTTTCTGAATGAAGGGTTTTTTATGAATTACAGTAATTATAATCAGGTACAACAAATACCTTTGGGGCCATAGCCTTTTGGGTTCAGCGCCTGATATTTTTAGTCCTTCGGTTCAGGATTTTAGAATCCCACTCCACCTACTCCAGAGTGGGCAACTGTGTAGGTGCTGATTGGTTATCATCAGCCATCACAGAATAACTTTAGTTCACAGCCTAGGTAACCAAATAAATGTTTCACTTGATCATATTCTTATATTTTTTGTATTTCATATAATATAAACTTAACTCTTAAAAATGAAATTTTCCCTTTAAAGGTTGCAATCAGTGTTTCAAGACAAGGTGGTAGTCTTGTCATCAAATTATTCGAAAGTCCAGAGGCGAGAGAATTTAAAGAAACCGTTTCACAATTCTATTCACTGAATTCTACATCATCATTTACACGTTTTATTAAACCACAATCAAGTCGTAAAGAATCCTCAGAAGTATATTTAGTCGCCAGGGGTTTTCAATTACCACAAAGTAGTACTATACAGAAAAGCTAGGTTATTACTCCGCTCTGTTTATTATTCTTATGTGTATATATATAATTTTCAAAAAAAAAACAACTCTGTTCTACTGCCTAATAAATAATTATGATGTGTATTCTGTTTGTTAAACTGTACATGAAATATATATAAATACGTGCTGATTTCCTTAATAAACGATCTGTTGCCTGGCCCTTGTCTTCCGTTGTTACATCAGAATATTTTTATTCGTTATAATTTATGCCCTTCATGCAAACGGTCTCTCAATACTGTCGAATTTTCCATTTATACTATCCGGACTTATTATTAGTGATATTATCTGTTTTCTCAATATATGCCTCCACCTGTTTCATTTCACACATTCGTTATTTCATTATGAACCTCTCAGTATCTCCTCTTTGTGCCACTGTGTACTAGCCACTTACTCACCTGACACCTTTTATAACCTTGAACTGACTTGTCACTTTTCCTATCTCAAATTCTACGAATCTATTACGATTAATCACCACCATTGTCTCCCATTTTACAATAATTTGTAGCCGATCTCAGCCTAGCACGAAGTTTGTCACACAAATACGACCGTTTATTTTGACACCCCATAGGTAATCTCTTATTCTACGTTAAAAATGTATTCGCCGCATAACTGGCCTTTATTGTAACGACAAAAAAAAAATCATATTTTATAATTGTAAGAGCCTGAAGAGGAGAAATTATTGAAAAGAATATTCTTCGTTCAAATTGACTTTTAATTCATAATACGGGAATATTTCACACTATTAAATATGCTAAGTAAATGGAATAATGTAATAATGAAATCAAATAAATCCAACGTAAGCGAAGTTAATCTCATTCATATACTGAGGAAAATATTAGCCAAAGCTCATTCATGTAAACATGAATTAGGGATTAGATTAGGTGACATCATCTTTCATATACATGATCACAAATATAAAATCGACTAAGGATATTGCCAAAACTATTTATGGAATTCTGGTGCTGTCTGTCTGTCTGTTTTCGACATAGAACTTTGCACAAATGTGCGGAAGTTCAAGTCGCCACACTCCGTGTAGCACGCGAAGCAAGAGAAGAAAGTACAAGAAAAGCATAATAGAAACGGTGAGCAGAGGTGTGAGACAAAGGCGGAGTAATAACGAAGAACAAAACAGTTGCATTGGAGATCATAAGTCACAAGGAGTGGATGCATCTGCACCGGCCACTGAGAACGATTTTGAGCCATGTCACCAATTTTTTCCAACCATAGATTTTTACCGTCCCGAGGACCCCAGCCTGTCAGGAAGTCTACACCTTCCTACGTGGCTTAGACCGACTGCTGTGGATTTCATTGACTGGTGCCGAGTTTTTGTTTGACCGCCGCTAGCTTTTTTCCAGCCTGACCCTATATCCGCTAACATTGCTCGTCGAAGGAGGCGATGACTTGGCATACGTAACACATGTCCTAACCATCTCAGTTTTTGTAACTTCACGACTTCGTCGATTGATTTCCCTTGTTTACCTAGAACTCGACGTCTAACTTCAATGTTGCTCACCTTATTATGCCACTTTACACGGGAAATAGGACGCAGGCACCTATGATCAAAGACAGCTAGCCAGGCTTTTCATGTCTTCCACTCTCAGTGGCCAGGTCTCACAACCATAAAGGAGGACGGAGCGGACTGATGAGCAGTACACCCGTCCTTTGGTCGATAGTCGAACATCTCGTCTACGCCAGAGTCGGCGTAAACTGACAAATGCGAAACGAGCCCCCTGTATTCGTGCTGAGATTTCGTCAGAGATCAACGCGTTGGCGTTGGGGCTGATGGTACTTCCCAAATAAGTGAAGCGGTCAACGTGCTCTACCACTTCACTTCCTATTTTTAAACTAGGCGTCGATGTAGTCCAGTCCTGTAACATCATCTTGCATTTGGCGGGAGCGAATCGCATGCCAAACAGTTAGAGAACCATTGAAAGCCAGGGAGTACTGGACAGCCGTTTCGTCAGCCTAGTTTAGGACTCATCGTCGGTACGCATCCACTGGGTTTCGAACCAAGCACCTTCTGGTTACAAGGGAAGTTTGTATACCATTCAACCACTGGGACCCAATTCATTGGCCCATGAATTGTAACTTTTGCCAATTCGTGATTTTAACACCACTGTCAACCAATGTGATCGTCGGGTCAGCAACTGTTGAGTTCTCACTATCCTGTATGCGGCTTTAAATTAGAAACTAAAATGATTTTCACGGGAATTAATGTACCCACAATGTTGCATCTAAAACATTTACGGAAGTTTGGGTAAGCTACACAAATTGTCCAGTTCATCAACAAACAAGTGAAACTATACGTCTTTTTATAAAGCACATGAGAATATAGGCGTGAAATGAAATAGCTATCGAAAATTACGCATGCTTATTTATCCAAAGTGATATACCTGACCCATGTAACACGAGAGCAAATTACGTCACTATACTTACTAATTGAGATGATATGACTGCCCCCAACTGCTGTGATAAAATATATAACTTCCTAATTAGAAGCTACAAAGATAAACTAACGTCCCTGGACAATTGATGGCTTTTATTTAACCACATTGGTGGCCATCCCCGAGCCCGAAAGACTAGGCTAGCTGAAGCTCATATTTTCTAGATGACTGTTTGTAATTCCTAACCCGACCGAAAGCTGCTACCTTGACGTGGTGGTCGGGCTTGAACACCGCAATGATCTATTCAAGCTATACTGGCTGAGACTTATGTCTCTTGAGGTCTACCATGCCAGGCAGGTTGTTTGGATAGCGGTTAAACAAAAAGCAGCTACCCAATCCAACATCATGTCCAATACAAAATCACAAAATTTCATGCCGGATCGGCCGTGGCCCGGATTAACAACGACCGCGCTTCCTGCTGCCGTGTCACAGGGCAGGAGTGATAAATCTGCTACTGAGACACACCAAACAAAAAGAACGAACAAAAACAGGCCGCGTGTGACCGGCCTCAAGCAGTTGTCCCCTGGGCTCTGCGGTCACGCAACCAACTTCCACGGTGTGGGCAGCCGGGAAGTAACAATCGCCCTCACAATCCGAAATGCACACGAAACCTCTCTATTACTCACTCATCTTTGTCTTCATCTTCATCTCTATCATCTTGCCTTCCTTCCACTGATGCAACTCCTCGACTTGATAGCTCTCCACTTCCTCTCCACTCTGCGTCCACTAAAAACGATGGAAGCCAAAAAACCACCACCGACAGCCTCTTAAAGCCGCGCCACCAATTTCATATAGGAGCTCTTAATGTTAGGACACTTTGCCAAATAGGACAACAAGCATCACTAGCCAAGACCCTGGCATCACGAGCCATTGATGTATGCTGTGTTTCAGAAACACGCATACAAGACCCAAGTGTGGTTATTCACCTAACCCCACCTGGCCAACAGGTTGAATCTGCAAAATTCACCTTGAGGGTGTCAGGAGATGCCACAGCTAGTTCACGAGGATTAGCTGGCGTAGGGATAGCTTTGAGTACTAGGGCAGAAAAGACATTGCTTGACTGGATCCCGGTAGATAGCCGAATGTGTGCTGTCCGCCTGAACGGATCAGTAAGAAGGAGGAAGGACTGCACTACTCGCCGATGCCTTTTCGTAATCTCCGCCTACGCCCCCACTGACTGCAGTTCAGATGAAACGAAGGATGAGTTCTACCAAAAGCTGTCTAGTTTGGTGGAAAGGCTAAACGCTCAGACATAGTCGTTCTAGCTGGTGACTTTAACGCTCAAGTAGGGAAATTGTGTCAATCTGAGAAGGATGTCGGTGGCACCTATGGAGTTCCGTGCCAGCGAACCGACAACGGTGACCGTCTCCTACAGTTCTGCTCTGATAATCATTTGTTTCTTGTAAGCACTAACTTCAAACACAAGGAGAGACACTGTTTGACTTGGAGACCCCCTTCATCAAACCAACGCTGGACACAAATAGACCACATAGCAATAAGCTATCGTTGGCGTGGGTCGGTAGGAGATTGTCGCTCCTTCTGGAACACGTGCGTAGATACCGACCATGCACTGGTCCGCGCTCGGGTGTGCTTACGACTGAACGGACGTAGGAAACAGCTGGCGGTAAAACCATCACGTCCCCAGCTCGATCAGGAAACTAAATCCGTATTTGAGGAAGAACTAGCTAAACACATATCTGTGTTCGACAGCTGTGCTCACCCTGAAGAAGCTTGGAAAAATATCCAGGCAGCCATAGATACAGCTGTAAAAGCTGTGAATAAGGTAAACCCAAAGGTGAGTAAAAACCACTGGATCTCCACCGCCTCATCCGAACTGATAGATGCTAGAAGACTTATTCCGGCGAGCTCCGAATTCAATGAGGAGCGAAAGCTGCACAAGAGGAAACTTACGAAAAGTCTCCGCAAGGACCGTGAACAGTGGTGGGCGACAAAAGCCAAAGAGATGGAGAAAGCTTCGAGGATAGGCAACACCAGGCAACTCTTTGGACTCATCAGGGAAACGGGTGGGAGAAGACAAATCATTAGTGAGACAATCTCGGAAAAAAATGGCACTATAATTAGCTCCCAGGATAGACGACTGGATCGTTGGAAAGAGCATTATGAGGAGCAGTTTAATTTGCCCACAGCCACGCTCAACCTTCCGAGCATCCAACACCTCCCTGAATGGGATATAGACACAGGTCCTCCGTCACTAACTGAGGTTACTAAAGCTGTCACCAATCTGAAACTAGGCAAAGCAGCGGGACCTGATGGAATGACTCCAGAGGTATTTAAGTACGGTGGAGACAGCTTACTGTCCGGATTAACTGAGGTACTAGGCAGCGTCTGGGAATCAGAAGAAGTCCCATCGGGTTGGTGTAAGTCACTGATTATCCCCATATACAAGAAGGGAGACAAGTCTTCCTGTGATAATCACAGAGGGATTAGCTTGACTAATATAGTATCTAAAGTCTTAGGCTCAATAATCATGCGTAGACTGAGTGGTGCTCGGGAAGCACAAACACGAGAGAGCCAGGCAGGCTTTAGACCAGGAAGAGGGTGTATTGATCATATCTTCACCCTCCGACAGATTCTAGAACATAGGCATTCCTACCGGCGTCCAACAGTCATTATATTTCTTGACCTAAAGGCAGCATTCGACTCTGTCGATCGGGAAGTTCTCTGGAGATGCTTGGCTGTAAAGGGAATTCCAAGAAAATATATTGCACTGATTAAGGCACTCTACTCGTACTCATACAGCCAGGTGAGGGCTTACGGCGAGCTGTCATCTGAACTGATGACGACCAGTGGTGTCCGTCAAGGATGCCCATTATCTCCTTTTCTATTCAACTTCATCATAGATGTGTTAATGGACTTAACCCTAGGTGACTTCAGCGACTCAGGGATTGACTTGCTACCGGGGAATAATCTCGTTGACTTGGAATATGCAGACGATATAGTCCTTCTAGGCGAAGACGCTGACGAAATGCAGAGTCTTCTAAACACCTTGAGCCGCAATCTACGAATGTTTGGCATGCGATTCGCTCCCGCCAAATGCAAGATGATGTTACAGGACTGGACTACATCGACGCCTAGTTTAAAAATAGGAAGTGAAGTGGTAGAGCACGTTGACCGCTTCACTTATTTGGGAAGTACCATCAGCCCCAACGCCAACGGGCTGATCTCTGACGAAATCTCAGCACGAATACAAGGGGCTCGTTTCGCATTTGTTAGTTTACGCCGACTCTGGCGTAGACGAGATGTTCGACTATCGACCAAAGGGCGGGTGTACTGCTCATCAGTCCGCTCCGTCCTCCTTTATGGTTGTGAGACCTGGCCACTGAGAGTGGAAGACATGAAAAGACTAGCTGTCTTTGATCATAGGTGCCTGCGTTCTATTTCCCGTGTAAAGTGGCATAATAAGGTGAGCAACATGGAGGTTAGGCGTAGAGTTCTAGGTAAACAGGGGAAATCAATCGACGAAGTCGTGAAGCTACAAAGACTGAGATGGTTAGGACATGTGTTACGTATGCCAAGCCATCGCCTCCCTCGACGAGCAATGTTAGCGGATATAGGGTCAGGCTGGAAAAAAGCTAGCGGCGGTCAAACAAAAACTTGGCATCAGTCAATGAAATCCACAACAGTTGGTCTAAGCCACGTAGGAAGGTGTAGACTTCCAGGCTGGGGTCCTCGGGACGGTAAAAATCTATGGTTGGAAACAATTGGTGACATGGCTCAAAATCGTTCTCAGTGGCGCAGATGCATCCACTCCTTGTGACTTATGATCTCCAATGAAACTGTTTTGTATTTCTTTATTACTCCTTTGTCTCACACCTCTGCTCACTGTTTCTATTATGCTTTTCTTGTACTTTCTTCTCTTGCTTCGCGTGCTACACGGAATGTGGCGACTTGAACTTCCGCACATTTGTGCAAAGTTCTATGTCGAAAACAGACAGACAGAATTCCTAATTTCAAAGACGAAATACATAGACTAGCTACCTCGTATCTATCAAATCAACTGCTTCTATGGAGACAGTTATATTGACCGTTACACGATGAAGTTAATTTTTTGTGCTTGGAAACATCTACCACTTTGGCTCAATAAAAGCATGCTAAAAATCATACTGCAAGGTCGATATTAAAGCACCCTGTCCACATAGGCCATAAAGCAATCATTGAAAAATCTTTTTCTATCAACTACCGGGCGCCAAATAAATTCCCAAAGGCCTCTAGGATAAGGAATACTTGAAAAATCAGAAGCCATAGCCATTCGCTTAAGACAACCCGGATATCTGCGTGGAAAAGCAACCGGTTGGGCAGCTACTGCGAGCCTGGCTTGAGGTGGAAACAATAAATTCTGTATTATTGTTTTTAGCTAGTTAAGTATTCAGTTTTAAGTTATACTTATCATTTACAAATGCTTTTGATCCTAAAGATTTCAATGGGATTGTGTTCTCTGAGCTGGACAGTTAATTTGCGAAGCTTTCATCGCCCTACTAGGCGATACCTTCAATGCATACTTTGATATCATGAAGTGAGCTATTAGATTTCTCCACGAGTTTATTATTCATCTCTCCTGGTTGGTGACCTTGGACGTGATTGGTTGTTGCGTGTTTTTAAACCTTCTAGGTTACTTGTATTCGGATTGATTGTTTCTGATATGTATCCACAAAATATGTGTGTTTGTTTTGACAGTCTGTTATATTTTGCTATGTATATATGGATCGATATTCCATTATAATTAACAATCATGTTAAGACTGTCTATTGATTCGTTCACTTTTGAACATTCGCTCATACACTTGTGTGACACTGATTTTCCTTGTTTGAACCTCGTGGTTTTCTGATTTCCGCCTTCTTGCGTCAGGACTATTAATTACTCGACCAGTACATAACACAAACACACATTATGTGGATACATATCAGTTTCTTTGGCTTGAACTTTGACCCTCTGTGTGTGAAGTTTCTTTGTTATCGGTTGACAAATTTGGTCTATCTCGATGTGTCTATTGATTGATGATTAACTGGAATACCAAGCTTCTAAAAATTCTCTAGCATTCTTGTTGTTTCCTCAGTCCAATATTTAATCGTTGTCCTAGTCGAATTGATGTCTGTGGTTGTCTGTATGTAGTGATATGAGGGAGTGGATATCATGTCTTTTGACGGCTAGCTTATGTTCGTGGATATGAAGACGAAGGGGACGTCCACTTTGGCCAATGTAGTGTTTCTCGCAGTTGTTACAATTTATTTTGTAGATGATGTTGGTTTTATTTTCTTTCGCTGTTGAGTGTTTTGGTTGACATAGAACTGAGTGGAGTGACTTTATTGGTTTGTGCACGACGTCAATTCCTGAAGGTTTGAAGAGTCTTGTTATGATTTCTGAGATATCCTTTATATATGGCAAGGCGAACTTCTATCTTTGTTCCATTGAGTACCATGTAATTTACAACGTTTAATTTTCACTTCTAAAGCCACTTATGAGTAATTATATCAATTATGTCACCCCCTATTACTCAATAATAGACTAATATACATTTCTGGTATATATAAATACGACTGTACAGCCTCTGAAGGAAGATGATTTCGTCGATAAAGAAAATTTTCTTCGTTGAATCTGTCTTTTATTTTCTTCATGACTCAATGGGTATTTCAAGTGATTTTAAGGCGATTTTCTTTGTGCTTTCCCCAAGGGAAACAACCAATCACGTCCAAGGTCACCAACCAGGAGAGATGGCTAACAGTGAACTCTTGGTGAAATCTAATAGCTCACTTCATGAAATTAAAGTATGCGCTGAAGGTGTCGCCTAGTAGGGCGATGAAAACTTCGCAAATTAACTATCCAGCTCAGAGAACAAAACCACATCAAAATCATCTACCTGAGCTATAAATCTTCTCTATCATATCTAGATTCGATGTCATTTGAAAAATTAGTGTTGTTAGTAATAACAATTCTTTAATCATAACAGACGTATGACTAACTGTAGAAGCTAATGAAGAATTTATCCAAGAGAATATTCTTTATTCACCAATAGGTCTTTTGGAATCTATATTGATCGCCTTTAATCAATTAAACCAATAAGGATAATACGCGCAAATAGGGGATTTTTTTCTAAATAACACTTCTTATGACTACTATGATCATTTTGACAAAATAAGCCAGTTCGTATGAATTTTTATTCAGTACTTTTAACTAGTTAGTGGAGATGTCGGCTATGGAAGAATTACACTCAAGGAAAATTTCGATTCATTGGTTGAATTATGATACCTAATTTCAGTTGTTAGATTTTATCACAAGCCAACATCAGTTAGAGAAAGATAACTGAACACCAGGAAGTACTGAACAGTGATTTTGGCCCCGGTTTAGGACTCCTCAACAACACGAGCCCATTACTGATCGAACCTGGAGTCTTCAGTTTACAAGGTGAGCTGGTGACCATTCAACAAGTATTCAGTGAACCGTGAATTATTACTTATAACGATTCATAGTATGGCGTTACCCTCACTCGGTTTTTCGATGAGCGTCCACCTGGGACCGCCCTGTTACAAGGTAAACTCATAGAATATTCAGCCACTGGAGCTCAACCCAGTAGTCCATGAATTCCAACTTTTGTGGATTAGCCATATTGAGCGTAACCGATTGGTATGCGCGCGCTACTGAAGAATCCCAAGCTAGGACGAAACAGCTATCGAGCACTCGCTGGTTTTCTATAAGTTGTCTAACTGATATCAACTCACGAACAATCGTGTAGTTATTTATTTCCCGTTGATATATATTTGTTTGGAGATCGATTTGGAGCTCGTTTATTGTTAATAGACTCATTGAACAAATGTATAGATATTCTTAGGATTGAGAAGTCGAAGTTACATTTCCAGTAGTGACTGACAGGGTTTCATCCCATTCATGATTCATCAGCTTATAGTGAGTACTTGATCCTAAATCAGACGTGAATGCAGTACCGATCGTTTCAAACTTCAAAACATTATCCCATCAACAATTGTCTCGAAAACAGAAGGTAGGTGTTTAGAAAAAAAATATTCTGATTGAATTACTTTCAATTCTTTCATATACGTCGACCGTTGTTCACTGGGTAAAATACTCGCCAACCACGTAGGCGATTCGGAGTTCGATTCCTGACTGACAACGCACTTCCTCATCTCTCCTTTTAGTCAGTAATAATACCGATAAAAACAAGGGAAGGTTCGAAGGTGAAACTAGTACCCCCCCCCGCCCCAGAGCGTAAAAAACAATAGGACGACCGCTACAGAAATTTTAAAGCGTTAGCTTCAAGCAGCCCTATAATTCTACTCCGAATAAAAAATATAATAATAAAAAACTGTAAAAATAAACTTCTAATCGTAATAGAGTATAAAATTATAAATAAATAAATATATAAAAAACAGCAACGAGGAGACTATCGTTTTTTCATTGTCAGAAGAAAAGCAGGCAGACTATAATTATAATGATTAAAATCTTATCACATTTAATATATATATATATATGATAATGTCATCTGTTTACAACGACAAAAGGGAATAAAATACACAGACACACGTGAAGGTAGGTAGGTGGTTTGGGGAGGATAGAGTGGGGGCAACATTCACACACTTGGAGAAAGAAAACACAGGCGTATTGATTCAATTGTTTGCTGTATCAGATCAGTGAAAGCAACACAGCGTTAAAATAAAAAAAACCAAAAAAGCAAACCACTTAAAAAATAATACCAAAATTAATATAAATGAACAAGCATAACAGAAAGTAGAAAAAGGGGTCGGCGGAGGTGGTAATGAAAAAGAGAGAAAGAAAGAAAAAAAAGCGGCATAGGCACTATGGATTTCCACCTCCTTGATTGTGAGCTTGTTGCATATGTTCTGCAAAACTGAAATAGGAAACGAAACAATGAAAAAAAAAGAAAAATAATTAGACTCGAGAAAAAAAAGTAAATTAGAAGCTTTTAGTAAATGATTCAGTATGTTGATTTTAGCTGCCGTGGCACTATATATGTTGACAATAGGTAGAAGTTAGAATTCAGTGACTACATACGTTCGTCCGGTAATCTGAAGGTCGTGGGTTCCACACATAGCTGCAGGATCATGGGTACATACTATAAAAGAGCCCCAAGTAAGGATGAGACAACTGTCAGTCTTCATCAGTATTCTCGTGATGAGAACAGGCTGCTAGCCAACTGGTAGACATTAATTTACGTCAACGTCTAGATCACTAATATTGGCCGTGAGAAAATATGAACAAGGCTGATTCAACAACCAATCACAGCAGACTTAACGTGTGCAAATAAGATTCGCAAATATGTGGCTTAACTTTCCGAGAAACCAGAAACAACCAATCAGAAGACTGTGTTTGTCTGCTTGAGCAAGCTATAATAATGTACATGAAATATATATATATATATATATATATATATATATGCTGATTTCCGTAATAAAACGATCTGTTGCCGGCCCTTGTCTTCTGTTGTTACACTCTAGCTGATGTCAGCAGTTGTGATGTAACTTGAAATCAATTAAATCCCTGCAAATCACCAAGTCTTGGAAATGATTTCATGCGTCTGATGGAATGAGTTGAACAAAGGAAATTTCGGCACAGGCAAAAGTGCATCACACTTATAGAGCAGTCTTGACATGCGTGGAGATGTGGCATAATGGCTTAAGCATTTGACTTTCAGTTAATAGGTCCCAGGTCCAAGTCCTATTGGACCTACCTCGGTCTGGAGCAACTGCATAGTATCATTAACCCAATACTGAGTAACTAACTGAGTTCGGGCAAACTAACGGTCTTAATATTCATTTGTCCATTAGGAAGGATCCAATTGATTGTCCTATAGTATGTTTGAAAATCTATGCTAATTCTGCTTTTATGTACTGGTAAACAACTCATAAAGCTTCTACATATACTTACGAATAGCGTCTTTTACTTACAACGGGAATCATATTATTATTATTATATTGGTTTAGAGAACCTCATGAGAGGTATCCACTATATTACGGAAGCTAATATATTAATCACAGTAAGAAAGACCAGATTTGCAGTATAAAATGATGTCGTCATTCTATTTCACAGGTTCTCATCAGATGCACACCACTCACTACCTGAAATTACAATGCTTATATAGATTGATAATAACATACTTTAATGTTTAAGTGGTAGTAGAGAAGAGATCGACTATAAATATGACACATTCAAAATGTAAGCATTACAATTATCTTTTTAGTTTAAGTTTTCATCATCAATTTATACGCTTTGAAAGTAGAAAATAGGGTGGGGGGGGTAAGATAGAAAACAGAAAAAATTAATTAACAGAACAGTGTTTGTTAGCTTGTAGGTTCACATAGCACCTCAAGAAACAAAAGCGGTTACAGTTTATAAGATTGAGATTTGTTCAGTGAGTTGAGATTACTGAATTAGATGACTAATTATTGTAATCAAAATCAAAATTCAGTTACCAAGGCAGTGGGAGGTTAATCACACTCTCTTTCTGTATGCATTAGTCTGGTTTAAATAGTTTGATTGCGACCGCTTCGGCAAGTCGTCGTCTTTTGTCTATTCAATATTTTGAAGGACTTGGAAATCTCTACGAAATGACCAGTATCAATAATATGTCTGGTAATTGCACTCTGAGAATATTTGCTTCCTTTCAGGTACGTGCGTCGGTGGCACAGTGGTTAGGACTCTCACCGACCATGCACATGGTCCGGGGTTCGATCCCCTGCCGACACACACCTGATATCTATGGTCGGCCTGCAAAATTTGGGCTACCGATATCCACGCTGAAAATTCCATACTTATACCAAAAATAAGGTGTGGAATCAAGCTGTAATCAAAAATAAATACAAGTTTCTTGGAATATGTTCAGAAAACCCAATAAAAGCCATTCTTTTTGCCCTTTCAATGTACTTGCCCCCCCCCCCACAATTACACGTAAATTCATACACGCAGTTGGAGGTGACATCAGCAGGGTATTTATTCAATTTTGAATGGCTTATAGAAGAAGTAGTGCTGTATAATGTTATGAGTTTAGCAGCAAAGAAGCTTCTTTTTTATTACTTCTTTCATTCTTTTGTCAATCTTTTGTGACACTGCATCTCCTTTGAATGGAAGACAAAATAATCACTTTTTCTTTTCTACACTTGGGTGTTTTTTCTTTTTCTCTGCTATACTTTTGTATAAATCCCTTGGGGTATCCATTTTCTCTTGTGCATTTCTCAAAGAAACCTAATTCTTCCTGCAACTTGTTCGGTGAACATAGCTTCCTGGCTTTGTCATGCAGTGTCCTTACTAACTCCAGCTTATAGGGCCAGCAGCTCTTGTAGTGAAGGTATTGTCCAGTCCATGTTTCTTCTCTGTAGATGAACTTTTCAACTGTCCGATCATTGAGAAATGCCTCAAGGGATTTATACAAAAGTAAACCAGAGGAAAAGAAAAGAAAGAAAAACACCCACCTGCAGAAAAGAAGAAAGTGTTTATTTGTCTCACTGAGCAAATCTCAATCTTACAAACTGTAACCGCTTTTGTTTCTTGAGGTGCTATGTGAACCTACAAGCTAACAAACACTGTTCTGTTAATTAATTTTTTCTGTTTTCTGTCTTACCCCCCCACCCTATTTTCTACTTTCAAAGCGTATAAATTGATGATGAAAACTTAAACTAAAAAGATAATTGTAATGCTTACATTTTGAATGTGTCATATTTATAGTCGATCTCTTCTCTACTACCACTTAAACATTAAAGTATGTTATTATCAATCTATATAAGCATTGTAATTTCAGGTAGTGAGTGGTGTGCATCTGATGAGAACCTGTGAAATAGAATGACGACATCATTTTATACTGCAAAATCTGATCTTTCTGTATCCAAATTTATCACGGGAACCAAATGTATGAAGTATTAATCAGAGTTATATTCTTTTCATACTCTTAAATGAAGGGATGGCTGGTTGCTTAAAGCACTCTACTTCCAGTCAATAGGGCACAGAGTTCCAGTTCCACCCCACTTACTTCTGAACCGAAGGAACTTAGTAGTATTATCAACCGTCACAGCCTGTCTAGAATGTACATTAAAGATCTTCTCTAAATAGCTCAGGTCAAACATTCCCTTAGGTTTATACGTAGAAGAAATTAATGACTTTTCCTCTATCTGTCTCTCTCTCTCTCCGTCCGTATCTAGAAACGATCAATTTTATGACAAGGATTCTTTCAAAATGTAGAAACTAAACGATAGATTTTCATTCCGACGATTCTTTAGGTTGGTATTTCTGTGACTTTCACGTGACGCTATAGTTCAACGTAATCCTTTGTGTTTAATTTACTACTACTACTCCGTACTTGAAGCTTCCTGAAAATAAAGAATGCATTACGTAACGTAACACACTAAAAACAAACACAACTTTTCACCACTTCACTTCATCACGCAATCTTTTCAAGTATTTTCGGGTATATACAATTATTAGTGTCATTCTTAAGCAATTATTTTTATAATACCTATTTTTCTCTTCATTCATTGAGTTCCAAGTGGAAATTAAGGCTTCAATCCTTACCAGCAGTGGTATTGCTTTTACGGAGTGTGATTGCTACCTTTACCTATTTCCGAAGCTTACCATCGGCTGTTAAACAGAGAGGTTTAGTGAAGCACCGATTGGGGACAGAACCTGGCCATGTGGGTGTGGTGGGGGTTGGTAAGCATTCTACCTCTGGATCCAATGACTCTAGATTGGCAGAAAACTCTGCACCCGGGTTTCATGATTTTTGGGACTCGTTAGCAAAAGGTATCGATAACCTACCTTGAAGGGACTGATATCCTCTCTTAAAATCGAGCTATTCTAAACATTTCAATCTCTACTTCCTAACAACCTTATTGAATGGTGTCTCCTTCATACCTGATTTTTCAGGACCATATTCAGCTACTCCAAAAAGAGAAAATGAACCTAGACACAGGAGGTGAAACACGACTAGCCCAGTCATATCTCCTCCCACTTTCAATGCTTATGCCTCACATACACCTAGTAAAGAAGGCTGGAGCGCTTTTGTGGCTTAGGGATATATCTAGGAAATAGTGTCAAAAGATGTCTACATATTAGTTTTTAGATAAAGCAATAAGAAGACGTAATTTATCTGAATCGTGTGTATTGTATTTGCGCAACACATTTCGAACAACCTGATCACACACCAACTTGTCATAGCAATGAATATATATATATGAAAATAATAAAGAGTTTAGAGGTGAGAAAATAAATTTAGGTCAAGTTAAAAGAACTTATTGAAGGTGAAAATAACACTGAAGACCACTAAACCAAATAACAGAGGTAATAGTACGTACATCTGCTATGGTATCAAAACAAAATTTACCAAGGAAGATTTAATGTGATGACGAATTCTCTTTTTGGACGCATAAAGGTGGTTTAAACTTTCTAATTGCCAACTAGGGCTTCCACTAACTTTAGGATACGCCCTAAACACGTCTTATAGATAGGTAGGACTCATCGATCTCTGCAAGTAAGGACTGGCTTCAGAGCATATTCCTAAATGGCTCCAGAAACAAACGGAGTCTTCAGAACAGACTAATGGTGAAAACAAGAGACCTAGCTCCTCTATTGCGAAACATATTATAGAGACTGGACATAAAATTGACGTTAACAGATCTTTTAAACCTATTTACAAAACGTGTTTGGGGAGTATCCTGAAGTTTGTGGGAGCCACCTTTATGCATTCAGAAACAATTTGTCATCACATTAAACCTTCCTTGGTAAATTTTGTTTTGATACCATAGCAGATGTACTATTACCTCTATTTCGTTTAGTGGTCTCCATTGTTATTCTGACCTTCAATATACCCTTTTAACTTGACCTAAGTGGTCTGTTTTCTCACCCCTCTTAACTCTATTAATTTCATGTGTGTATATTCGTATGACAAGTCGAATAGGTGATCAGATTGTTCGAAATGTGTTGTGCGCGCAAATACACATTACACGATTCAGATAAATTACGCCTTCTTATCGCTTTGTCTAAATAATCATAAAGGGAACTAATTGTTTGAAATATTAGTTTTTACAAGATTTTCACAACACGCACACACATAGACAGAAAACTTACCGTGCATGACAATTGGCTTCAGTTTCCAATGCACTGTGTTGAAAATGAGCAGCTTTATACAATGCAATAAATATGAACAAGTGTAGAAATATAGCATATAAAAATACACCTAAGCGTAATCTACGATCAGAGCTGACAACACGTCCCTGGATAAGAAAAAATAAATAGAAGATAATACAAAATTACAGGAAATGATGAGTAACACAAACAGTGTTGACAATTATTGAAAAAAAAAATAATAAACTGTCATTATTGTAGTTAATCATGATAAATAGGATGATGAAAATCTAAAATTATTTTTATTTCTCTCCATATTTCTCAACATAATATGCGAATGTAATCCTGCTGAGATTCAACTGTACAGGGTTGCATTAAAAACAAATACAACTCCATTATAGATAAGATTTTATTTTGATAAATCGCACAGTGTTTACAGTTATATGAACTGATGACGTTTCGAGCACAAACTATTTCTCATAATCATATCAAGTTGGATTAGATATTGGATTAAAAATCAATGTGAGATAATGTCCATTCAGAAATAATAGTACGAGTGTTATTGACCCATTACAATTATATGGGAAATATATAATATAATTGTAATTGACCCATATAATTGTAATGGGTCAATAACACTCGTACTATTATTTCTGAATGGACATTATCTCACATTGATTTTTATTCAAATATCTAATCCATTCCACACATGTATATAAATGAAAGAAAAAAGTTGTGTGAGTTACTTGATATGATTATGAGTGGCAATAATTTGTGCTCGAAACATGGTCATCAGTTAATATAACTGTACAACACTGTGTGACACTTTATCAAAATAAAATCTTATCCATAATGGAGTTATACTCTACCACAGTGCCCAAATTTTATACTTATATCAGACAAATACAAGTAATTAGGCAGCTGGTGATTACACAATACCTTTAACTGGATAGCCTGTCAATAAAAAGAAAGGGATTACTGACTTTAAAATATTGATAAGTGAATAGAGAATAATCATTTTTGGTAATTTCTGCATCACATTCTACAGCTAAATGTACATAACAGTTAGAGATTCATTGTTCCTGATAAAATTATTATTATTGTTCCCTTGAGTTCCGAGTGGAACAAAGGGCTTCAACAACAACACACCTCAACTTTCTTCTATTTTCTGCCATCCTCTTCAGCTGGCTAGTTCCACGATTGCGCAGAATCTCTCATTTCCTTCTCTCCACACGATCTCTTCCATGTCACCCTCTCATTAACAACCCATTCGGATTTTACTCTAGCGATGGCCTACATTGCGCACGATGTCATTCGATAGTCTATTCAAGGGGACGCCCGATCCATTTCCTTCGGTATATTTATTAAGCACAATTAGCTCTTGGTTGGTTTGTTCCCAGATTTTCTTGTTGCTAATTCTTTCTCGATATCCATTCGCTCTTCAATATGAAGACAGCTGTTGATATAAATCTGCGGGGGCCTGTTAGAAATGCTTTTCGTTACGCGCCATCCCCATATGAACGAACTACTGATCTGACATTGGTGTTGAAAATCTGAATTTCGCCGATATACCGTGTGTAGAAGAATTTCAACCAGATTTTAGAGTGATGAAAGTTCGCTTTACCTTTCCGATTGTGGTTTCGACATCTTCAACCATGCTGGAACAATGATGCCTAGCTCGATAAGTGAAGGAGGTGATCTCTTTCAAATTTATTCCGCTGGCAGTGGTTGGTGCTGTTTGTTGTTGTTTATTGGTTACCTTCATCACTTTTATCTTATCTATGTTCACTTGAAGTCCTGTCTTCACCGGTTCTTCTGCCACTTTGTTGGTTTTTGCCTTTAAGTCTTGAGTTTGTGTAGTATTAAACATGAATTACCCACAAAATCACGATCTTCTAGAGTCTTCTTATCGTGATGACATCATAAATATTTTCTCAATAACAACAAAACTAATAACATCGATAGATTAAAGTTCAGAAGCATCTATAAGCAGGCGATAACAGGAATCAATGTAAAACTAAAATGAATATCAGATAAACTACGAAGAATAACACAAATTATGAACTCATAGATTTGACAGCAGACCATGGTAGCAAAAAGGGGGTGGAAGTATTTCTTCTGTGCACAGAGTTCCACTTGTTCTGAGCAAACTACAATGGCCGCAGCAGTTTTGAGTATTTATTATCTGGATGTCTTGACAATTTATTCAGTTGTTTTTTTTCCTTCATGTTCCCCAGTGGAAAATAGGGCTTCAACATAGTGGCTTGAAGTTTCTGTAGCAGTATTTATTTTACAGGATGGGGTTGCTAGCCTCATGCCTAACCTTTCCCCTTAACCAGTATTATTTCTGGCTTAGCGAGGTAAAGGATGTGCGTCGGCCGGGGATCGAACCCCAGACCATGTGCATGGTCGGCAAGCGTCCTAACCACTAAGCCACCGACGCAATTTATTCAGTACTTAGCGGATAATAGATAATAGGGTGCAGCAGGTCGGGTGTGAGGACAAATACTCGCCGAAGACATTGGCTAGGGGTCGCACTATATCGTGAATTGGCAGAAGTTAGAATTCATGGGCCGGTCATTGGATCGGGTCCCAGTGGCTTAAAGGTCTACGAGCTCGCTAGCCTTGTAACCAGAAGGTCCTGGGGTCGAACCATGTCGGTGGGTGCATACTGATGAAGAGTCCCAAACTAGGGATGGAGGAAACAGCTGTCCAGTACTCCCAGGTTTTCCGAAGGTTCTCTAAATAATGTCAGCTCATGATGAAATCTTGTTACCAATAGAATGAAATGTTTGAATGGTGTTGTTTTACAGCCTGTTTGGGCGAGGTGGTCATAGAATATTTAACTGTAAATGGTTTTTACTACATCTTAGATTATTCAGCCACATTGGTTAGCTGTTCCCGAACAGGAAAAACTAAGTTTCTACAGAGATGGTCAACAACACACTTTGTTCCACAGGAGAGTTGTAGTGACACATTAAGAGGTGGCTAGTCTAGGTACTTCGTCTTTCAATTTTTGAAATAACAATCTGTCGTGTGCATGTGTGTATCAATCAAATCAATTCAACAGCTTTTGTGCAGTCAGTTAAACTGGTCAAATATGAATGAAGTAGAGGACAACTCATAACTGTGATAACATTGATTCGCAAACTCAATTACATTCAAGCCAATGAAAAAAATCAAAAGTGTCATATTTACTATCAGTTTGTTTCATTAATATTCATGACTTGAGTATATTCACTAAATGAACAGTCATTTTTTATAAGAAAGGTTTAATAGGTTCAACCTTATGTAGTGTTAAGGTGTCTGAATTGATGCCTTTATAGTTAAATAGAAGGTAGTTGAATGAGCCATTCAGAAGACAGATTTCGCGAGATGATGATATCATTTCGTAGTTTGTCTACAATCACTTTATAAGTAGCATGGTTCATTATAATAAAATAACAGGTATGACAATTACCCAGTCGTATAGAACAAAAGTACACCCTAATGACCAATCATACTTAAATAGGTCAAGTAGTCCATGATAGGCGGTTGAAGTCTATTGGTTTTTGTACATATAGTTTAGGATGCATGTGATTAATCTAAAGTGTTTCCACCATCTTTGATAACCTTGAATTAGAGTTATATGAAATAATTGAAAAGAAGTCATTAATAATATTGATTTTGTGACTTGACATTAATAAGTGCTTTGAATTGGGATTTCTTATGTTTCTTAATAACCATTTTGGAACATGTACTTTTCGACGACATTAGAACATTCTATTCGTTCTATCCATATATATGTATGTCACTGCAACTGTAGGTGAACTTGTAAATACAGTTTAAAGTAGAGTCCACAGAATCTCGTCCTTTAATCGTAGGTACAGGAATCGAAGATCTTCGGCAAATGAGAAAAAGAGATGCAGCGTACAATGTGCGTTTGATGACTAACCGGAGTCTCTGAGCTGTCAACTGCATAATCTGGTCACCCTTAAATGGTAGGTGAATAAAGATGGCTTTTCTTGGTCTTTCTTTACTGTGACAAGTGATAAGGTTTTCCGGATAACCATTAGCTAATAAAACTGAATGTATATGTCGAAACTCATCCATAAATGTGTCACTTGTGCATATTTTTCGGGCCCTTGAGAACAAACGTTTCACTAGGGAACGTTTATACTGGATAGAAACAAAACTGGTAAAATGAAGATATTGTCCACTCCATATCTGTTTACGAAAAATAAATCGCTGAATCGTTCCATCATCTCTCCTAGTCATAGTAATATCCAGGATACCGAGTTCGTTATTCGATTCTAGTTCGGAAGTCACTCGGATATTTGGATGAATGTGATTAAATAGAGTAATAAAGTTCTTAAGAGACTATCATTACCAATAGTGAGTGTATTATCTACATAATGTTTATATAGCATATATTTTTCTAGCATACCTTGCATTTACTTCTCCAATTTCGACATGAATATATCTGCTAACAAAGGCCCAAGAGGGCTCTCCGTAGCAACACCATCGATTTGTTTGTATGCCTTTTCTTGCAAAGTGAATCTGATATTTTCTGTATATGCTAGGATAATGTCTCTAATGTAAGTGGCAAGAATAGGCAATTCTAGTTGCCCAAAACGCATCATTCATACCACAAGTATTGTACAAGAACTGATCATACTAATTAGCTGCCTGCACTGTCTGAATTCAGTTGAATAGTAAGACTTGAATTCAAGATCACCTGACAGAATGTTGTCGATTGTTAGAGTCAATCAGTTACATACGATATTGTATATTTAATGCAATGATGAATAGACTTTATTTAACCAAATGACTTTATAAATATTCTATAATGATGATTCAAGAAACTGTTGTACACAACATCAACTCTTCTGCAACCCTTCATGCACAATGATAATTCACTAAAGAGAGTTGGTTTCAATACTTCTACATTGAAACAGCAAGGTGAGTCACACTTATCATGTGATGGCTGATGATACTACCTAGTCGCCGCCTATACTGATTTACATGGAGTGGGATTCGAACCCACAACTCATTGATTGGAAGTTGAGTGCTTAAGCCAATGAGTTATATTTCAAAGAAAAGCCATTTACCGGTGAGTGTTATTACAAACTATGACTGTCCACTCCAACCCCTCCTATAAGTTCGGATTATTAATAAGTTAACCACTGGAAAAATACTGCTAAGTGTACTGACAGATATATATCAAAATGGTGACGAAGACAGCTGTTTATAAAGGTCCGTAGTTTGTTGGAAGTGCCATTCACGACGCGCCAAGTCTCTGATCCTTAAAGTAGCACTGACTTCACACTGGAGTTGAAAATCCGGATCTTATTTTTCATGCTGAGTGTGCTGTTGACCTCCACACAGACTTGAGAGTAATGAAAGCTTGCCTTGCTTTTCCGATCCTTGCTTTGATATCCTCGTCGGTTCCGTCCGCCTGTAGTTGAAACGATGCTTCTCAGGTAGGCAGATAGGTAAAGGAGGTTTCTTCTTTCAGATTTCTCTCATTTATGCTGATTGTTGTCTGTTGTTGTTGCTGTTCCGTGAGGCCAGGAATCTTCATCATCTCTGTTTTCTCTATGTTCACCTGAAGTCGTATCTTCTTTGGATGCTTCTTCTGCCAACTTGTTGCTTTTCACTTGTGCATATCTTCCAGTTTGTGGGAAATCAGACATATATGATCTGTGAAGTTCAGATTCTCCAAGTTTTTTGTGTGGGTCCATTTTATGCCTGCTTCCTCACTGCCCAGTGTCTATCGCATTATTCAGTCTACCGCGATCAGGAAAACCATTAGAGATAGTAGGCAGCATTGCCTTACTCCCATTTTTATGTGCACCATGATTATAACTCGTTTATTAAATCATTCATCTTATAACGTAACTCCAACACACTTTATTGACTAACATTTATAACTATGACAACTCATCACTTTTGTTACTACTCCCTTTCATCAATAAAAATTGTATGCAAGTGCGATTGTACAGCTAAAGAAAATGAATTGGCCGAAAAGTCTCTTCACTAAGCTACATGTTTTGTAGTTGTATCTGTTTGAAGAACATAACACAAGCAACTGACCGCCACAGGGTAAGCTGTGATGTACAATTTTTAAGCGCTGATCTTTTGTAACGTTCTATTCCTCAAAGCGGGGAGAATGCATTGCTAACTGTCTGAAACAAATACTTTATGACTCTCTTACACCTTTATTCACCAACAGTACAACTTAGTCATAAAACCTCCAACATAATGTGGGCGACTTCTTCTAGTCTATTCTCTATCTAATGGACTTTTATGGCGCAAAAATCCGTTCCAGCTAGATCGTTCATTGAATCATTGAGATATGCAAACCAGATTGTTATGTCAAGGTAGAGCCAACTAACGGTAAGAATGTTGTGAAGAGACTGCTTCAACTGAGATGACTTAGTTACCGCCTTCCACAACAAGCAAGGTTAGCTGGTATCATATTAGGTTGGAAAAGAGTGAAAAGTGATATAAGTATAAGAATTTGGCACTGTGGTAGGGTATAACGCCATAATGGATAAGATTTTATTTTGATAAATCAGGGTTATACAATGATACTTAATGATGCCCACGTTTCGAGCACAAACAACTATTGCCACTCATAAGCATATCAAGTTAATCACACAACTTTCTTGCTTCATTTATATACATGAGTAAAAATTGATTAGACATTTAAATAAAAATCAATATGTGATAATGTATTTTCAGAAATAATAATACGAGTGTTATTGATCTAATAAAATCAGATGGGAAATAAGACGAGTGTTGTTAGCCAATAAGATAAGAAATAAGAAATGTTCGAAATAAGGCACCTACCTACAGTTTTACCATGTAAGGAGGGGACATCTGATACCCTACATAGGATTCTCAATAAAGCAGGAATTATGGTGACATTCAAACCTACAAACTGACTCAGAGACAAGCTCTGAAGGCTGAAGGACCCGGTGGACTCAATTAGAAAAAATAATATAACTTACAAAATACTTTGTAATGACTGTGAGTGAGGTCAACTACATAGGTAAAACTAGGTAAATCAGGCAGGAGTAGTGAGATTATCAGAACAAAAGAATTTAGCCACGGTTAGAATGATTGGTCCCACGAAGAGAAGTAATTTGAAAAAAAAATTCAGCAACAGCACTGCAAGCATTAACACACAACCATACAATAGGGTGAGAGAGTGAAAATCCTAAAAAGTAATATAGGTAGGTGGAGAGTGAGAGAGGTTGATTATTCAATCCTGGTTCATTGAGTCTACACACCCAACACAACACATGCAACAGAAATGACTCAATGCAAATACCGGCAGTCAAATCAGAGGAGAATAATAAATAATCTCAAAATTCTATTTCAATTCATATACATCACAACATTCTAACAAGTTACTTATTATTATGACTATAAAAACACTCGTCTTATTTACCATCTGATTGTAATTGATCAATAACACTCACATCACTATTATTACTGAATGTACATTATCACATATTGGTTTTTATTCAAATATCTAGTCAATTCCACACATGTATATAAATGAAGGAAAAAGTTGTGTGAGTAGTGACTTGATATGATTATGAGTGGCAGTAATAATTTGTGCTCGAAACGGTCATCAGTTAATATTACTGTACAACACTGTGTGCTTTATCAAAATAAAATCTTATCCATAATGGAGTAAGGAGTGATCATACGAAAACTAATTAACCTATCACAAAGTTTTCAACCATTGGTTTGAACCAATACAGAGAGAAGTAGACTACCACCAAGAAACATATAATAATAATAATAATAATTAAGGAAAGAGTAGCAGAAAAACAGCAAAAGTAAAAAGGGAAACACAAAACAAGAACACCTTACCAAGTGTAACATCAATTTTTCATATGGCTGTAATTTTTTGTATACACGTTGTTTTTCATAACGACTGAATTGATTAAATGGATTCAATTGGGCTTCATAGACTTGTGAATATTTAATGACAGTAGGATCATTTGAATCCACATTACCTGGATAAGATGGTGACGGTGTCGATGGCGAATAATGCTGGTGTTGTTGTTGTTGCTGCTGCTGACTAGATGAATTCCCGACAGAATGATGAATACGTGTTGTTTGTGTTGTAGGATTTGTACCATATGAATGGAGAAAGCGTATTTTCTCATAGAGTTTTACATTATCCATACGGACAGATTCAATTTCACTTTGTAGTGATACCAACTGTTGACGTAGACTCACTTCGTTCTATTAATAGAAAAAAAATAAAGAGAATAAATTAACCTGGTCGATAGCTGCACACAGCAGTGACCTTTGTTTTTCTTCACGGCTACGAGACATAACCGATGAAAGATATGAAAGGAGTAACTGTCTTTTACCATAAGTGTTTGCGCTTTATCTTCTAAATAAAGTTGTATATTATGGTAAGTTATATTGAGTTTAGGTAGTGATGCCAAGTTAATCGATGTCAAACCATCGCTTTCCACACTGAGCAGTATTAACCGACATGGGATTCGATTGGAAAACGGGGTTAGGCGTGGTAAAATCAAAACATGGATCAGTATTATGAGGTCTTTTGCAGTCTGTGTGAGAGTCGTACGGAGACGGAGACTTCTTGGATAGATTCCACAAGACGATGAGACCCTCAGGTTGGAGACTTTTGGAAGAAACGTTCACTTCTTATGAACTTTCAAATTCTCATCATCCTTCATATACTTATTTTTACTGCATTCATTACAGTTTCTTTGTATTTTCCTACGTTAATATGTGCTTTATGAATTGTGACGAGTTGAACTGATGAACTTTTATGAAACCTCCTGCGTTGAGAACACAAATTAAGTCTACTTAACAATTTCGCGCTGTGATTTGGCATTTAGGTGAAAGTGGATGATCCTATTTATTGTTGAAGTTGGTAGATTTTAATCCATCTAAACAGATTTCTCATATATCATGTACTATGAAGTACACTCATTGTATGAAGCTTAACAATACTACTTAGCTAGCTGCTCGACGTAAAGTAGGTGAAATGAGACTCGAACGCAGGGCTCACTAGATGAAAGTTGAGTGTTTAAGCCAATAAGCTCCACTCGTCATATGATTGTACTTGATTTATTATATACTCAAGTAAAAGGAAATAATAATTGAAATTCGAAATTATAGAGGTGTAAATAAAGAATATTTCTTTATACCTAAAGTCAAATTACTTTTTCAGCTTAAAGGAGAAGAATTATTTTACAAGACGTATATGTTAACAGCGAATTGATTGACTGCTATTGACCTGACGTGATGGCTGCCATGCTTGCACATCGAAATGATCCAACAGATTAGACTATCTGCAGTGAATAATACCAGACATTTTATCATGGTTGTAGGGTCATTGGGATAGCAGTTAGACTAAGAGTAATTGTCATAATGCAAGTGGCTCACACAATGCTGTAGAGTGTCTAATGGTGATATTATTATTATCATTATTGTTCCATCGGTTTCCAAATGGGACAAAGGGCTTCAACAACACTTCTCCACTTTGTTCTGTTCTCTGCTGTTCTTTTCCGATCAGCTAGCTCCACAATTGCCCATAATCACACATCTCCTCCAAATCACACGATCTTCTCCATGTCACCCTTACACCGACAACCCACACATCGCTTCCCATTGGGACTCCACTCGGGAAATGGCCTGCATTCATCACGATGTCATTCGACAGTCTTCTCAACGTATACCCCAATCCATCTCCATTTTCTCCTACATATTTGTTGAACGATAGGTTCGTTATTAGTTTGTTCCCATAGCTTCATGTTCCTAATTCTTTCTGGTCATTCGATCTTCAATATGGAGTTAGTGAAAGCAGCTGCTGATAAAACTCTGCAACTGGCTGTTGGAAATCGTCTTCGTAACACACAGTGCAAGTTTCTGACCCATATTGAAGAAGTGACTAATTTCACATTTGTGTTGAAAACTCGAATCTTGTTCTTTATGCTGGCTGACTGCAGAAGATTTCCAAACTGGTTTCAGGTTGATGAAGGCGTATCTTGCGTTTCCGATTCTGACTAGCTTTGACAACTCTCATCCGTTCTGACTGCTTGTGGTTGACACAATGCTTTCTAGATAAGTGAAGGAGGTAACCTCTGTCAAATCTCTCCCGTCGATGATGATTGATGCTGGCCGTTGTTGCTGTTGGTTGGTGCGTGGGTATCTTCATCACCTCCATCTTCTCTATGTTTACCTGGGGTTCTGTCGTCGGTATCGGCCGCTTCTAACAATTTGTTGGTTTTCGTCTGCAAGTCTTTGAGTTTGTGTGACATTATAAATAAACCCTCCGAGAAATCCAGATATCTAGAGTCTTCTTCTCAGTCCAACGTATTCCTTATTTCTCACTCCTCACAATATAACAAATAACCTAGTCCATCACAATTGGGAATATCATCGGCGATGATATCTTACTCCTGTGTTCACTTAGAACCCCTCGTTAAGTTTTCCGCTGTAGATCACCTGACATGTGGCATTGTCATGTAGCTGTTGAATGAGGTTGATTAGAACTTGGGGCATGTTGCTGCAGAATAGGGGTGTGCCAACAGTACAGTATTTCCTTCAGTTGACTACCAAGTCAACAATCGGCCTTACTTGCTTTATGGAGAGTTTATAGAAAAGGTCGATATTGAGAAGTATGCTTCCCGACTTACCCAATGGCGGTAGGATTTTCGTACCAGAAAAATTCTGATAACCACTTCAAAGAGGACATATGTGGCTGGCCTTAAGCATTTGTCCCCTGAATTCTTCTGCTACGCAAAAACTAATCATCTTTTTGTTTTAGGTATTACAAGATGAAATCAACACCTATCATGTGAGCAGCCAGGAAGTAATAACTGCCCACAAGGTTTTTATGTTCATTAGCGTATTTAATACATCTAATAAGTCCTTAATAATTTCTTTTTCTTAATCAATACGTGAATATGGCGTGAAATAACTAAGCGACCTTCCTATTTATTACACTTTGTAATTTTTATTAATGTAACCTGTGACCAGAAATAATTCTAGAAATTTTTCACACATTTACTATAAATACAAGAATAGGAATGCGCAAAATTAAATGATTAATTGACTCATGTAACAGAAACATACAGACATCTTTATACAAGTAATAAATATACTTATTATACTACTGAAATTTATTTTACTCAGTTTATGAGTATTTATGCAACGAAGTACTACTCAAGAACCTATTGCCCAGAAAAGTATGCAGAAAGAATGCGTGGAGACGGATTCGACATACACTGATGAGACCGTTAAGTGACATTGCACAACGGGACTTCGAGTGGGACCGTAATGGAAAGCGACCGACGAGTTGAACATCCGAAGATGACATAAAGGAGATGAGAGCTAATGGGAGATCGTGGAGCCAGCTAAAAAAGCAACACTGCGGAGAGCACAGAATGGAGATGTGCAGCTAAAGCCCTACGTCCCATTCAGACCCAAAAAATAATGGTATTGATTATTCACCACCTGGAGATTAACGCACATTCAAATGTTTTTCTTAAACTTTTAAAATCATGATAGTCATTACGGTAGTGGAGAAAACATTTGAAAACAACCACTTATCGAAGAAACCCATTATTTTGTTTTTGGTATACAACACACACTAACCTGTTCTAATTCTTCAGCTCGTATACGAAATCGATCACGTTGGTTTTGTACAATATGTAGTAATGATTGATCGACTGTGAAAATATGTAAACAACAAAGGGATAGAGGATAGAAATTGCTTTCACAACCACTGTTCTACAAAACAAAGTAGAATGTTTCAAAGAAAATCAATAATATATATATATATATATACTTTTCACATTGAGGTCGGCTTAAAGAAGAATAACTTCAGAATTTCGGAGGAAATTAGAACCTTATGAAGATAATCATCTAACGACAGAAGACAAGGGCCAGTCAACAGATCGTTTATTGAGAAAATCAACAGATATTTATAGATTTTTATGTACATTATTATTCGTTATTAATATCAGAGAAGCAGCGTCTTCTGATTAGTTGTTTTCCTGCTGCTGAAGGTTATTCTGTCATCTCTTTGTGGTCGTTTCTTAGAAAGTCAGGCCATGTATCTGCGAATCGTTTTATACTTATATCAATATTCTGTCATCTCTTTGTTGTCGTCTCTTAGACAGTCCGTTGATATATCTGCTAATCGTATCCGCCCACGCTAAGTCTGTTGTGATTGAGTTAGTCCTTGTTCTTGTTTTTTTCTCACGATCAAGATATGGGACGTAAAAATTGACGTAAATTGTTGTCTACCAATTGTAGCTAGCAGACAGCTCTCACCAGAATCAGACTTTTAAATGTCAAAGACATACCTTGATGATTAGTATTAGTGTAACAGTAGAACGCGGTAGTATTTAGTAGGAGAATTTTTCTTATCGGCAAGTTGATGTACACAGATATAGTAAAATACATAGAGCTTACATTGAAATCTTTATTCGCACCATATTGTGCTCCTGTTTTATCCTTCTTTCGTGTTTCTTTTTGTTATTGTTTTACAAGGATCATTCATTTCTCATGAGAAACTGATAGTTACTGTTCCAGTCCCTTTATTACCCATTAAATTTACGCAAACACTTTCCTCATGAATACACTGTTTCAAAAGTAAAATAAAACAACCTAGTGGAACTTCAATCATCAAATGACTCAATAGGTCACACGTATAATCGTTAGTATGTGAATTACACAATGTTAGCACAGTTGTTACGTCAATCACTGACTTCATAGGTGTGAATTTATAGTAATGGCAATATTTAACAAACAATAAGGTGTATTATAAGTTGGTGCCAGTCACAATGAAGGCATGAAAATGGAGTCAGATGATCATACATAGGTGTATGGACTATGTGAACAAATAGTCTGTAGATTTGCGTTTTCACTGTCGATAAACTTTCAAATTCTTTTTATTGTCTATTAATATTATCTTGTGTTTAACATTTGCCAGCGATGAAGAAGCAGGCATAAAATGGACCCACACAAAAAACTTGGAGAATCTGAACTTCACCGATCAAATATGTCTGATTTCCTACAAACTGGAAGATATGCACAAGTGAAAAGCAACAAGTTGGCAGAAGAAGCATCCAAAGAAGATACGACTTCAGGTGAACATAGAGAAAACAGAGATGATGAAGATTCCTGGCCTCACGGAACAGCAACAACAACAGACAACAATCAGCATAAATGAGAGAAATCTGAAAGAAGAAACCTCCTTTACCTATCTGCCTACCTGAGAAGCATCGTTTCAACTACAGGCGGACGGAACCGACGAGGATATCAAAGCAAGGATCGGAAAAGCAAGGCAAGCTTTCATTACTCTCAAGTCTGTGTGGAGGTCAACAGCACACTCAGCATGAAAAATAAGACCCGGATTTTCAACTCTAATGTGAAGTCAGTGCTACTATATAGATCAGAGACTTGGCGCGTCGTGAATGGCACTTCCAAAAAAATACGGACCTTTATAAACAGCTTTCTTTGCTGAATGCTGAAGACCAGATGGCCAGAAAGGATCGGCAATAGGTACCTCTCGGAGCGAACTAACAGGGAACCAATTGTGCAACAAATAGGCAGGAAGAAATGGAGATGGATTGGCCATACTCTGAGAAAATAAATCATCAAGTGACATAACTAGGCAAGCCCTTGAGTGGAACTCGAAAGGGAAGCGGCGAGTTGGTCGTCCAAGGGTGACACGGAGGAGGTCATGTGAAGAGGAGATGAAAGCAGACTCGGAGCCAGGTGAGAACTATAGCAGAGAACAGAACGCAATGGAGACGTGCGGCTGAAGCCCTATGTTCCTCTAGGAATTAAAGGAAATAATAATCATAAACAATTTCCAGCAAATGGAAATTTTGTCAAATGTCAAATATAGTGGTAAATATGATTGCGTTGTTCTCAGTATGCGTTAGGACATCATTCTACTTCAGTGTAGGAGATATTATCTAACTATTAGATTCTAATAATAACATAGTGGCTAGGTTAATGAATATTGAGGTAAAACGGACGACCACCGACCTGTTGACCTTGAGTAGTCGGTTAGTCAATCAAAGTAAGGCAGACTAATTTTGATGTCAAAAGACATATTGATGTTAACAGAAGTGTAAGAATAATAAACGGATTGCAAGAATAGCTGGCTACCAACAGCTGAACAACATGCAATTATCACATTAACAACGAACTCAACTTATCCCTTATATTAATCAGTAATACTCACGTAAACTATGACATGCCACTTCAAAACCTTTCAGTCAGTTATTTGTTTGAACTAAAATTCTTCAATTTCGCCATAAAAGTTTCCAGGGATAATTAGGAATAGTAAAGTATAGTTATTATTGAATTGAATTTTTGATTTTCCCGTCGATTGATTGGACCGAAGTGCTCGGTGTCACTGCTAGCCACCATCCACCAAAAGTATAGTTATATTTCAATGGTTTACACACAATGATAAGTTTTTATTATTGGCAATATTTCGAGCAAAATTACTCCCCGTGTTCACACCAACTGTTGGAATTTTTTTTTTTTTATTTAATTCACACATTTATGATTTGTACTCATATATATAGTTCATTTTTTTGTTCATTCATTTTTGTGTATTTAGAATTATATTCCAGGTTGTAAACCATTTAAATATAATTATACTTTATTTGATCTGTTCCACAATGCTCAAACTTTTTACTGACACTAATTAGGAATAGGTTGGGGATTATGGTGAGATTAAGTTTGATTGTCCGTCGGTGGCATAGCGGTAGAGTGCTCGCCGACGACGCCTCATGTGCTCCGGGGTTCGATCCCCGACCAATGCATTCCTTTACTTCACTGAACTAGTAATAAGACTGGTAAAGAGGAAAGGTTGGGTATGAGGCTACCAACCCCATCCTATAAAAATAAACATCGCTGCTACCGAAACTTCAAGCCTCTAGCTTGAAGCCCTATGTTCCACTGCGAACAAAAAGGAATAAGAAAAAAGTTTAGATTAGAGTTAGAGTGAAGAATTATTAATTGGAGCTTCTGGATGAAATCTTTCATCGATATCCTAAACGGCCTTTTCTTATTAACAGTAAACTGGATTTACCCGTTATAACTAGAATGCTATCTCCGCAAACTTTGAAAGCCCACATCAAAGCCATTTACTTGTGTCCTCGTTAACTTGGATCACTATTCTTCATAATACTTCACCAATTCTACGATTTATCGACATAAGTTCAATGTGAATAAATAAACAAATAAAACTTCACTAAAATGAGATATTACTCTTCTAGTATTTTGCCTTTTCAAAACACTTTTGCTTACTTTGATTTGATTTTTGTTCACCAATCACTTCTGCAAGTAATTGTCCTTCTAATCGACTTCTTGAATCACTATTATTAGATGATCGTCGTGTTTCATCAAAACCAGTCTGTAAACGATATAAATCAGATTCTAATAGTTTAATTAACTCTGATTGTTCTTCAATTCGTTGCTTTGATTCTACTTCATTCGACTTCAACTGAGTCAACTCAACTGTAAATAATAACAATAGAAAAAATGCAATTGAACATTGAATGAATAAGAAATATTTCCGCCTAACCCCAATATTGCTCACCTTATTATACCACCTCCCTAATACGGGAGATAGGACGCACACCTATGATCAAAGTTAGCCCAGTAAAGAGAAAAGATTGGGTGTGGGACTAGTAATGACCTTCCTGTGAAAAAGCGAATAAACGCTACATCTACTGAAAATTCAAAGCCCAAACTTTAAGCCCTATGCTGCACTCGGAACATAAAAGAATGGAATTGAAGAAAGGTGAAATTAAAGTGACAAATATCAGAATTGAGATGTTTTTCGACACCACGGAGAATATTATTCCTATCAAATAGTTAATTAATTTAATTTTAATTACAGTTTGACGCCACACCGTATTTTCAGTACAAGTATCGAATTTTCAGCATGTGATATCGGTAGCCCAAATTGTGCAGGCCGACCATAGATATCGGATGTGCGTCGACAGGGGATCGAACCCCGTACCATATGCATGGTCGGCGAGAGTCTTCACCACTGTGCCACCGACGCACAACATTACATGACCAAATATGCATATTCTGTTTTGAAAGGTGAACACTGTTTATCATATCTGAATTTCAAGCTTTAGATTATAGTGACCTAGCCTCTATTGATGGTTAGACACCACTGAACTCTACAAAAATATTGGAAAAGATTTGTGGAACTAGCTGGATGGCTTTCAGTTGCAAAGCTTTCATTGCCTTACTGCAGTAGGACATCCCCCACAACACTAGCTTTTACAATTCATCCGCCTCACTGGGTAGGTGACTTTAGACCTACGATTATTTGAAGTTAGCGTCCAGAAGGAAAATGGGTAGACATAAAGAATAGCGACCACGGAGTACAGACGCAAGAATGACCTAGGGGTGACCGCGATGAGCAATAGCCGTGGTTTTTGCATGAAAAAGCCTTTCGTTTATGGGGAACAGTACACATAATAATAGTGGAAACACATTAAAGACGATATTTTACCCGAACGTAACTCAAAATTACACCCAAGTTACAATGGAGGGATATCAGTTTTCAAGTCTCATACTTATCAACACGGTTCGCCAATATTAATCCTAACCAAAACCCTAACCGTAACCGTGTTACCTGCCTGTTGTCCGAACAGTGTTTGAAAACAAGATCAGGATGAAACTGGCACATCAATTCGTGTACAACATTCATACTGGCGCTGTAAATAACGCCAGGTTCTGCAAACCAATGAACGGCATACGTTCAAGGTCATTGGTTCGTTCGCGCCGCGTGGTCGCCAATTTTTAGGTTGACTAGAAAATGAAAGTTTCACAATTTGACCTTTCAGATCAGTTCAGTGGAATTTTTAGATTTTCCCGTCGATTGATTAGTCCAAAGTGCCCGGTCTCAGGTTGACATGTCGGCTTCTTCTGCAGATGCATCGACGATGTCTGGGCATTTATTTGGAATTTAATTTGTGGATGGTGACTAGCAGTGGAATCCAGGATAACGCGCATTTCGTCCTATTTGGGACTCTACTGGAGGTACCTGCATTTCCCAGTGAATGATGACGTTCCCATAGAGGCTCGAGCCCATTGCCCATAGTTTCAAACGCCAAAACGTTATCCACTAGACCACTTGGGCCTCGAGGACGAAATGCGCATCCTGGATTCCACTGCTAGTCACCATCCACCAATTACATTCAGGTCAGTGTTATGACAATGTTACTAATTTGTGGTTGCCATCTCAATTGACTAGAATGCGTCCCCAGACACGACACTATAACCAACTGATTACTTGAAAATATCCGCCTAACTGAGATGGACACAAATGGGCTAAACGACAACGACTGACAACAAAAACAGCTGTGACACCGTATATCAGACAAAATACATAGACATAGTATATGATATTTTCAAAACCTCAGGAATCGAAGCTAAAAATACACGAATCAAAAGCTGTCCAATCAGTCTATCATGTCAGCGCATGCATAAATCATCGCTTTACAGTTAACAGAGAAGCTCATCCGTTCTAACAGTCACAGGACAAAACAAAAAAGGCAGAAAAAATGAGTTTCTTCTCTCCATATAACATAACTTACTCTGTAACTTTTCACGAGAGGTATTTACTTCAGCCAACTGATTTTCTAATACCTTATTCTTTTTTAAAAGAAGTACTTCTAATGGAGGACGATCAGACGATGCAATATGCGGGTTTTCGCCATCATCAGGGAATTCAATAGACCGTAGAAGTGATAATTCACGTTTTATATCATCATAATCTAATTGACGATTAATTTTCTCATTTGCTACATCTAAAGCAGTTCGAGTTTCTGTTAATAATTTCTCAGTATCTTGAATACGATTTTGTAATAGAGTCTCGTTAGAAGCTTTTGATAACTTCAATGACTCCAACTGGTCAATTAGTGAAGATTTCTAAAATTGATGGGTGAAAAAAATAGATGAAACAATGTGTTGGCACTGTTCAATGGGGTTTTATTGATTCTCAGGTATTGGTTTTGTAGGAAATCTTTGTCTGAGTGGTTAGGGGACTTCACCATGAGCTGACATCAGTTAGAGAACCATTTGAAAACCTGCAGGGAGTACTAGATAACTGTTTCGTTCTAGTTTGGGACTCTTCATCAGTACGCACCCAGCACAGGGGGTTTGAATCCAAGATCTTTTAGTTACAAGGCCAGCTAGCTCGTAGACCGTTAGGCCCCTCTAACCCGACCAAATGGCCAGCCCATGAATTCTAACTTCTGCCAATTCATGACATAGCACGACCACTTCTTAATGTCTTCTTCGACGAGTTACTGCCTCACCTTTAGCCTGCTGCGCCCTACTGCTCGCCATGTAACCAGAAGTTCCTGGGTTCAAATTCCGATGAGTGCGTACTGATGAAGAGTCCCAAATTAGGATGGAACAGTTATCCAGTGGTCCAAGGCTTTAATAATTCATTAAAACGGTTAGCACATGATCAAGGCAACAAATTGCGGCAAAAATCAATACAAATGAGACTGAAAGGACTGTTGACAGAAGTAAACACAACAAAAAAAAACTACTGGTGTAAATAATTTTTTAACTTCTATCTGAATGGGTAAATGTATATCACCAGGTGACTAAACATAATTTAGCATCATTTCGAGTATCATTTAACAGTTATTTAACACAAGCGATTTAAGTATAAAATGTGTTATACATATTATAATTGAATAAAGCAAGAACAGAAGTTTGTGCAGAATAAAATGATACCATCATTTACTTTCATTGGCTTCTCATTAGCCTCATACGGCCTAAAGAAATTATTCAACTCATGTAAGGAACTATTTTAACATGCTTGCAAATTTTACATGATATCAGTGGACAAGAGGTTCGAGTTTTCGTGAACACTGCTTAGAAAAATACGCTTGTATAGATGTTATTCAGGGAGTTCACGTTTAAACAAAAAGCAATGTATGCATACAATGGTAAAGGAGTTGCGTAATAAAGGCGAGAGGTGAGTAAGATAATGAGTAACTAATAAACTGGATAACAGCTTACTGAGTTCAAGTGAAGTCAGAGAAACAAGAGACAAGCAAAATTACATTATATCAAAGTGGGGTGGGTGGGTGGGGAGGAGGTTGAGGTTAAAGCCAGGGAATACGTAATCAAATAAAGAAGAGAATAAATACATCCAAATTTATTTATTTTTATTTATTTAAACGCATAAAAAACTTGGTACAATATGGCACCAAAAAGGATGCGCCACACAATAATAATAAAACAACATAGATCAAAAAGAAAAAAAGGAAGGAAAAGAAAAAATATATATATATACATATATATATAAGTAGAGAACGGATAAAGAACTTCACCTGGAAGGAAAACACTCATTCTTAACAAGTTCAAACAGTGTTCGTTAACTATCATCGGGAAGGGAAGAAAAAAGGAAATCGCAACACATTCGCCATTGATTACGATTCTTGGCCATATCCGATAACGTTTCGAGTCATCGATTTGAGCTGTCTCTCGGACCCCAACCAGGGAGTCGTGACACACCAACCGATGCTAATCTAGTACAAAAATCCTTCATCCCACAACGCCACGTCATGGACTGACCACCTCTCCGCCTTTTCCATCCCGTCCCAGGGCTAGCAAACAGAGACCTGTACGGAAGCCTCTGGGGTGACATTCGCAGCACATGTCCAAGCCACCGGAGCCGGTGTTTCCAGATGACGACATTCAATGAATGGTGATCTCCACTGTGTTCAAACACACGCCGCCGAACCTCACGCGATGATGCCATCGAACGCAAGCAATCCTGCGGAGACAGCGGTGATCGAACACGCAGAGTCGCCGCACATCCTCAGCTCGGAGAGGCCAGGTTTCACAGGCGTAGAGCAGCGCAGCCCGCACCGAAGCATTGTATACCCGACTTTTGACAGCCAGGCTAACGTTGCGACGGCGCCAGAGGTGGCTCAAGTTGACGTATGCCACCCGAGCCTTCATTATACGGTTGGAAATCTCATCCGTCACCCCTCCGCCAGCACTCACACAACTACCCAGGTACACAAACTTATCAACAACTTCAAGCGGTTCACCCGCAAGAGTGAGTAAATACCAAGTAAGGGAAAGACTGAGAACTGCTTCTTACTGAACACATAAATCGGGCTTCAGGCGTTTGATAGAGACTACTTTGTTAAACTTGAGGAGAATTGAGCTACTTTATCTATTGACAATGTTAAAGGATTTTGCGATGTCCATCTCATGACCCGTATTGATGAGATGTCTGGCAATGGTACTATTGTATACATTTGTTCCCTTGAGATGTAAGCTTTTTGGTAAATGTTCAGAAAATCGGAAGTATGCTCTTCCTTTTGATCTCCCAAAGTAACGACTACCGCAGATACACGCAAATTTGTATACCCAGTTAAAGCTAACATGAAAAGGGTGTCTGACAACCAGTCCGATAGACGGGAACCAACTTAGCTGCAGGATAGGTTCTTGCTAGTAACGTATTCAATCTTCTGTTGATTTTGCCGGAAATATTATCACCTTTAAAAAATGGAGTTGAATGAAGATAGGCTTTTCTTCCATTGTGATTTGTTTGACATTTGAGTTTTCACATCTTCCGTACTTGTTAATGAACTTTTTAGGGTAACCGTTGTTTTCCAATATCTTTTAGGAAAACATAAATTCTTCTCATTTCCCTGTAGAGCATATTCTCCTGAGTCTTGTCCAGTACTCGTTTACAGTTATTTGGACGGGAACTATTAAAATGTAAGTGATGTCCAATCCACGGAAGGATTTCAGTAAATTGACCTCTGGAAACTACCATCTTTCAGGCGTTGCACGATGATGTCAAAGAAATGGAAATCTCCCTCATCTTCATGTTCCGTAGTAAATTCTATGTTCATTGTTAAATGATCCGAGTGGACAGGAAGCATGACATTCATAGTTGCACGCTAAAAAATTGTCAGTGATATATCGCCAGTAAGAAGTTGTTTCGTCGATTGCATGCTTCAACTTTATTCTCTCAGAGTTGGACATGAAGATGTCTGATAAGACGGAGCTAAATGGACTGCCCATACCTACATCATTTGTTTAGCGGTAGAGTATTGTCAAACTGGAATTTTACATCCATGGTACACATTAGCACCAAGCCTATGAATTCCAATACTGGGAGTAGGAGAGGATCAGACTGCTGACAAGTGATATCGATAGTTCCACTGATTGTGATCTTTGTGAAAAAAGAAGTTACATCAAATGACTCCATAAAATTATTTGAAACGTTCATGAGATTCACACATTATATTTCAATAGTTGTTTACACAGCGATAAGTTTTTGATTCTCATCGCGCTATGTTGCGAATTGACAGAAGTTAGAATTCATGGTTTGGGTCCCAGTGGCTTAACCGTCTACGAGCTACCTCACCTTGCAACCAAAAGGTCCTCGGCTCGAACCCTGGCGGTGGGTGCATACTGATAAAGAGTCTCAGACTAGGACGAAACATCTGTCCAGTACTCCCAGGTTTTCTAGTGGTACTATAAATGAAGTCAGCTCATGATGAAATCCTCCATGCAATCAAACAAAATCCCTACAAAACCAATAATTGAAAAAATTATATAAACCCCATTAAACTTACCTCATTTGAACAAGTGGATAATTCATATTCAAGTTCTTCAACACGACATTGAAGACGATTAATATCTGCAACAGGTACACTTGAAACATGTGAACAATTTTCACGCAATCTAGCCAATTCTGCTTCAGCTGCTGCAAGTTTCTAAAAGACCATTACAATAAAAAAAGTCATGAATGATAATTTTGTACAAACTATAATGAATAATGAACTGTGTGATAATATTACAAGTTCAAAGAATTATGCAAGATGTTCTACTGTAGTCATTAGTTTAGTCTATGAATATCAGCTGTTAGGAGGGATGAACGACAGAAAATTACCTAATCGATTTGTTTACATCCAGACAATAATAACTAGAAAAACAATTTCCTGAAAGTGTATTCCAAAATGGGAATGAGAAAATCAACTGTTGCATGTGACTAGTACTGTTTGAGGGAATTGACAAACGAAGTGACAAATATATCTATCACGTTAAAAAAAAACACCAATATCCAACTATTTATATGAATTTATCTTCAAAAATAATAAGCACATTACTAACCAACAGGTTACCTACAGGCTGCTTTCCCTCCATACTGAAGATCAGATGGTCATTAAGATATAAGCAACAAGGAATTCTGGCAGGTACGGAACCAATCAACAACCTATCGCCCAAAATATATGATGAAGGAAGTAGAGGATACACGCTGAGGAAACCGATGACTGGCATCAGGCTCCATGTCGTCGAGTTGAGCCTGAATTTTTCTTTTACAGCTTGATTCCACACTGTATTTTTGGTACAAGTAAGGATTTTTCAATATGCGATATCGGTACCCTAAATTTCGCAGGCCGACCATAGATATCAGGTGTGCGTCGGCAGGGGATCGAACCTCGAACCATGTGCATGGTCGGCGAGAGTCCTAACCACTGTGCCACCGACGCACAGGGAGTGACTTGGAATTTCGTCAGTGACACGGAGGAGATAATGCAAAGAAGAAATGAAAGCTTGTGAGCATTCATAGAATCAGCTTAAAAAGGCAGCAGAGAAGAGAATGAAATGGGGACGTACTTAGGTTCCATTCGGAATCCAAGGGATGAACAATAATCATAATACTAACATCATGTTTGCTATCACTTGTACAAACATCCGATTGCTAGCAGGTTACTGTCCCACATTCATAACTAGATGTTATATCAAGATATTCTATTGTGGGGTGTGCTACTGATAAGATTTATCAGTAGTATATAAACAGACGTTCATCGGCATAAAAACATCAAATAGCAGGTAGATAGATTTGATGTCAGAGAAAGCTAATGATACAGCGTTGCAGGGGTACACGGGAGACTTGAAAGGAACACAGAGAAACACAATATGAAGGCCATAAGTAGCACAAAACGGAAGATCTGTACAAATGGTGCGTTGAAGATAAGGTGTACATAATTTGGCTATATGGGGATACCAGTCAGACAGTGATATAGAGATACCAAATTCCAAATAAACATTCATTTACCAAGTCTCTCGTTTCCTACTGTTACACACCATTGTCTAAGTTTCACATTTCTCATGCCGAATTCAGGCTTTTTGAAAGTACCACATTAAAAAAATTGTTGGTAGGGAATAAAACGAGTTTCTAGAAAATACTGAAGTGCTATACTCATCTAGATAGTAAAATTTGTTATTTCTAGGAATTACTACTTTTGAATTTATCGTCAACTGATTTTATTTTACTGGAATACTCGTCGGGCTTATTGCTGACGCTACGACACACAATAGCAACTGATACTTGTTGCATCATGTGATCCAGTGGAAAAGAATTTAGCATCTGAAACTGTATTTGGAAACACTGTCACCTATTAGGGATGCAAGCCCATTACAACGAGTCCCAAGTAGGACAAAAATTACGTCCTCGAGCTCGCTGCCAACTACCATCAACCAAATTATCTTTCGAACTCAGTTACCCAGAACAGATATTTGATATGCCAGGCTAAGAGAAACACTTGTTGTGTGAGCGCTACCGATAACAATCAATTACTAAAGCTGAAGTAGGTGAAGCAGGACTCGAACCGGTGACCCACCGACTGAGAACCAAGTTGCTTAAGCGGATGAGCCACATTTCCACAACCGTATAGTAGTGTAGTAGTCTCTAGTTATCTTATGTAAATTTTATTGAGGTATTTTGAAAAGAAACTTATCTACCTTTAAGAGCATGAAAAATTACATGGAAGCTTTATGCGACAGATGTTATACGAGATGGAAAGATGATCTGAAAATAACCTAGCAGAAAACATTAATTAGTTGGAACAATCACTTTTTAATAAGAATAAAACTTGTGCACTATGGTAGAGTGTAATTCCATTATGGGTAAAATTTGTTTTGATAAAAAAGAACTAACTGCAGATACTGAACTCACTCATAGGACAAAGCTGCCCATTGAGAAAGTCATTTTAGGAATTCAGTTTTGCCTGACATCTACTATCTTTAAATTCCAAGGCAAAAATATGGACAAAGTGAAGGTGTAGCAATGGGATCACCAACATCCCCCTATATTTATGGAAAGATGGGAAAATTTGGCTCTTAATACGTTTAATTCTACTCCAAAAATATGGTGGAGATATGTGGATGACACTTTCACAGTGTTGAAAACAGAATATATCTCTAGCTCCTTGACACATATGAACTCACTACTGGAGGGAAGAAAATCCACATTTGAATCGAAAAATGAACTAGGAGAATTAGCTATGTTAGACTGTAAAATAAAACGAATAGAAGAAGGTAAACTGCACACTAGTGTGTACAAAAAATTTATCATTCATCTCACCCGTTAACTGTTAAGGTAGGCTTAGTCAAGTGTTTAACAAACCGAGCAGTAGAACTATATAGCACAAGAAAAGACCTAAATGATGAAATAAAACAGACAGAAGAGGCATTGGTGTTAAATAACTATCCTATAAAATTCATTAGGAAGGTGGAAAAAGGCCAAAAGAAAAACAAAAATAATTGTGAAACTAGTAATAATAACATAAATAAGAGAGAATATGTCATCTACAGTTATGCCATATAAGGAGGGGACATCTGAGGCCCTACGTAGAATTCTTAATAAAGCAGGAATTACAGTGGAATTTAAACCTACAAACTCACTCGGGTAGGACAAGCTCTGTACGGTAAAGGACTCTGTCGGTTGACCCAATCAGGCAAAATAATATGATTTACAAAATACTCTGCAATGACTGTGAGGTCAACTACATAGGTCAAACTAGTAGGCCATGGGTAGTCAGATTGTCAGAACATAAGAATTTAGCTAAGGTAAGAATGGTTGACCCTGAAAAGATAAGTAATTTAGAAAAAAGCTCACCAATAGCACTGCAGGCATTAACACACAACTACACAATAGGGTAGGACAGAGTCAAAATTCTAAAATGTAATATAGGTAGATCGACAGCGAGAGAGATTGATTACTGAATCCTGGTTCATCGAGTCTACACCCAACACATGCAATAGGAATGATTCATCACTCATACCCGAAATATGGAAAATACTACTACCAATCAAATCAAGTGAAAAAAAATGGAACTATATAAATGAAGTAAGGAAGTCGTGTGATTACCTTGATATGATTATGAGCAATAAATTGTGCTCGAAACGTCATCAGTAAACAGTACTGTATAACACCGTGAGACTTTATCAAAACAAAATTTACACATAATGGAATCACTTTTTTGACATTTACTTGCGTCGTTTCTTTTGAGGTAGATTTTCAACACATAAATGACCAGTGTTTTCAGAAAAATGATGATTGCCGAAATACAATAGCTTATCAATAATTTGATTCATTAACAATACGATTACAAGAATTTCTTTATAGTAGTGGAAGCGATAAATTTATGAAGATACTGATGATCTTTAGAAAAAAAGCTTGTGAATATAACACAATACCAATTGGCAGCATAAATCCTTTTTTAACACAAGGATGTCGTGAATATTCCACTTTGGTATATTTTAAGTCGTAAGAGAATGTTGTTTATACGAACTTTGATCAAGGTTTTGACCGAATAGTTCCACAGTAATTGGGTGCCGCCAAGTGACAAGTAGACATATGTAAAAAAAAACTTTTTATATTTATATAAATCTAAGCAAAATTGTACATGTTGCATCCAATACAATTGCGGGGTTTATCAATTCACTGGATATAGCACTTGACTTCTAACCAGTGAATCCCCAGGATGAATCCATTTCGACCTACTTCGGTCTGCGGCAACTAGATAGGGTGTGGCTGATAGCCTGGTACATGGAAAGTGTATATCTTGTACCAGTTCAAACCAAGTTCAATATAATTGAGAATGGATCGTTCATTATAAGTGGTGGCTACATTTGACTAACCTGAAACAGTTTTATATTAAATACACCACGAAATACATTATCATTTGTGGTGTATGAAATTCACTACTTTTCATACTTCTACGAAGTTAATTTGCACAAGATAAGAACAATTCTAAAGTCTAATCAGCTTACATATACCTGAGTTAATCACTATAGAAGGCATGTGTAAAAAAATGATTTATAACCAATAAATATTTATATATTCAATACAAAAACATCGGTAAAAAAATACACTGTTTAAAGTGTTGCAAACAAAGAAGTAACTTACTGAATTTGACTTTTCAAGATCATCAATAAGTAATTCAAGTTCAGATGACCTATCATAGAGATAAAATGTGTTCAAATGCCAAACAAGAAACTAACCGACCAGTTTCACTTGCATTTACTTGAGTTTTTAGTCTAAACAGTTCTGATTGTGCCATTTCCAATGCTGTAAAATGTAAGAATTAACAATTCTAATTGGGCATGAGATATTTGATAAATCAACCAAGTAATGTTAATTAGTATCTGTCAGAAACCACTCAGACTAATCGACAGTAGTTACACGTTTACTTAGGTTTCTATGCATATCGCTTTATTCATATTTTACTCAATTTATCTGTAGAATGATAAGTCAGTAAATAGCTTTAATCACAAAAGTATCTTCCAGTGCTACATCTAACTCCACTGCTTTCACACCCTATATTTCGTTTAGGCTTCCTAGTTACGAATTGTGCACCCTGATGAGAATCACATAAATATTTTTCCCAGAACACTGGGAAGCCTAACTGCTGCTTCATCTCACAGACCCCAACAGAATTCTCTGGTGAAGTATCTTGAACAGCACTTTTCAATTCTAAAGGTACTTGAATTGTGCATTAATCTAATGGTCATCTGCATTTGGTATTCCTCTTCTCGGAGTCGACCTCAGCCAAATGCCTTTGAAATATACAGTGGTGATAGAGGTATGAAAACAGGTTGGGTATTTAAGCTGGGGCGAATTGTTGAGGTGGTCAAAAGGAATTAGATAGTTTTACACCAGAAAATGTGGATAGGATTTTGCATATTGGTGCAGATAATGATCTATTACTGATTTCAGAGAGTAACAGTAGCCTGAAATTCTCTCGCACATTCAAGCCAGGAATCAAATAGATCATACCATAATCAGAAATCAATCACACCGATGGTTGCACAATAGACGCTCTGATAATGCCCTAGTAAATTGAAGGCTCCTGTCATCCTAAACATATTGACGTGTGTAAATCAATTTCACCTTTTATTGCAGCCGAATATCAGAAATTAACTTGCCTCTAACAGAGGGTTCTACTAACTTGGAGTAAACAATGTTATACGAAACAGAATTAGGTTGAGAAAAAAGGGTTTTAAGTGGGTAGGCAAAGACATGAAACTAATGCATAAATTCAGTGACTATTGGTTTGAGTCTTGTAAGATGCAAACAGCCAGGTTGGAGTCCTCAACATATTAAGAATCAATAGCTGAGAATTCTGTGTCACATAGCTTGACAGCGTCATCAATGGAACAAGTCAACTTGCTCATTTTCATCTTCCTTACTCTGAAAATATTCACTAATCTTTACTTGTCTGACTACCTTATTGAATTCATGTGTCTGATATACTATTAAGATGTCTCTGTCCTCTTAATGTCTTTTCAAATGTGGAAACTTGGAAGAATACGTCTCCATGATGACTTCTTACTTGGTTTATCAGTCAAATATCAATTCGAGCTAAGTTCCTACCAAGCTCCTCATCCTTCAGAAAGTCTAGATAAACACTAGTAGTACTTACAATGACGCCATGATTGCTAGTAAAGCCATTTGAGACCCAGAAATTCTCTTAAAACCCTAATCCAGTTGGACGGCTAAATGGTTGTGTTGAGACTTTTGTTCCATAAAGCAAAACAGTGCTTACAAAAGGATTTCTATTTTTGTTATTTTTGATTATACCTTGATTCCACAGTATCTTAGGTAAAAGTATGGAATTTTCAGCATGTGATATCGGTAGCCCAAATTTTTCAGGCCGGCAATTGATATCAGGTGTGCGTCGGCAGGGAATTGAACCCTGGACCATGGGCACGGCCGGCGAGATACTTAACCGCTGTGCCGCCGACGCACGATCGCGAGACTTGGTGCTCATGAAATGCATGTGAGATGGAAGTATCAGATGCACTTGACAACAGTTGGAAACTGTTTCAGCTGGTCTTAGATACCACCACCAAGACACCTGAAGTGAATGAGGTCATTTGTGAGGATAGTGGTTCCCTTGTTAATAATCTACAAACACGACTGAAACACAATGCCAGAATTTCTCATCTAAAGCAAGACAGTGCATTATATCCTGGAGGGTGAAAAGTAACAGTGATACTTGTTTACATCTAAATAATCATAGGTTCGAAAATGAAAGCAGCAGTTGCCAGAACGATCAGGATTAATTACAAGTGTTTTCATCAGCACAGCAAGCTGACGTTTCCACCAATGGTTCGGCTAGCAAACACAGCTTTTAAGAATAATGGGCCACACCACATTATCGAGAAAGAGTTAATATCACGACCTACTTAGAACTACAAGGAACTACTGTTTTTCACCTATAAAGCACGACACAACGCCCGATTACAAGAAGCATCATAAATAAATAAATGCATTTATTTATTCATGTGTTGATTCTGCCCTAGTATAGCACCCAGCTAGCATTTTTTTCGGGCGCATTGCAGACTTTTTGGGGCAGACTTCGGGCAAATTGCAGACTTTTTGGGGCAGACTTAGGGCAAATTGCAGATTTCTTGGGGCAGACTTCGGGACAGCGTCCCACGTAAGTAGATTTACCCGAAGTTTTTTGCCCCAAAAATTCTGCAATGCGCCCGAAGAAAATGCTAGCTGGGTGCTATACTAGGGCAGAATCAACACATGAATAATTTATCAGACAATATGTAACCAACTGTCACACAACATACCTTTCGAAATAGCCATATTTTTTGCTTCAAAACTACTAAGCTTTTCTTCGGCCTCAGCTTTAAAGATAGCTAATTCTTGCTCCTTGGACTCCAGTTTCCTTTGACATTCATTTTCCAACTTCGAATTATTTTTTTGTATTTGAGACTCCAAAGAGGTTGATAGTTCATCAAGACGCTTTTGCAAGCGCTTGTTTTCACGTTCTGAAATAACCACAAAATCAAAAACATACCATGATTCTTAAGTTCTTGAGCTCTAGCCTTTAGCTCATCGTTGCTTTCCCTTAATTTACGTGACTCGAACTCAAGTTCTGTAGCTTTATCTGCTCTTTTCTGCAAAGAGTGAAGCTCAGCCAAAGCGAGGGAAGGGTCTGAGACGGAATTAATTTACTGTGATTACAAAACCTGGGAGATCAATCAATCTTTTGTACATTGAGAGATATGCATCCTCTGAATACTTGCACCTTTTTTGCACAGCATCAAACTCAGTCTGATAATACTTGATTATAGTCATCGCTGACTTTCGCGCTTCCTGAACACTGGATTACTGAAATAGTTCACATACCTCAGACGCCGATTTTCGAAACTCCTTCGTCTGATTTACCAAATTAGTGCGCGAAATGTCATTCTTTTGATGATTTGATGTCAACTCCGACGCAACGGACTCGAGAGTTTTCTTTAAGACCAAAATGCTAAGTGATAATAAACTACTTGTAAGTCACTGAATTCCACATCTCTCCAAGAGTTGCAAACAGACGTCACAACAGATTCCATAGAGGTAACGCAACTGCTGTAAAACGCTCCAAGCCTGTCCCTGTGTATCCAATATCCAATATCCTGATTACGAACTAGTATAAACCAGTGATTTCTTTGAGCTCGCTTCTTGATTGTGAGGTAGAGGTTCCAGATCTTCGGTGAGCTTCTGTGTAGTAAGTCCCGCCACTCGACTGCTTTAGCTCTGGTAGACTCTAAGAGGAGTGGTGCGGGGAATGGACAAGATGTGGTTTGTAGTATGCAGTATGTTGGGACTGTGTTGCTGCCGTGAATGGAGTTTGACCTAACTCCCGTTGGTCATCCGGTGTAGTCATAAAAGCAGAATAGTAATAATAATAATAGGTTGTAGTGTAGACAATATAGGTTGAGATAAGTGGAATAATAAAGGTGACCTAAGGAAAAGATAGAGTGAGAGAAGGCAGAATAGGTCGTGGGGATTTAGTTTGTACGCTTATCCATTGACAGTGTGGTTTTAAGTTTTATGAGGATAAGCCATTGAGACACAAACCTTGCATTTCTGCATGATTGTCTAGCTTCCGCTTAAAAATCTCCAGAGATGATGCTGTAGTCACGGCCGCCGGTAAAGCGTTCAAGAGACGGCAAACACGAAGCGAAAAGAAATGTGATCGCACTTGAGTCTTTGGTCTCTGGTGTGCTATCCTTAGCGGGTTACCTCGTGGAAGCCTATGATCACTTAATGGCAGGATGCTTTCATTTGGGTGGGCATAGTCATTTAAGATCTGGTAGACGGTGATGAGGTCTCCCCTGTGCCTACGGTACAATGCCGAAGGTCTTAGAATCAGATTTAGATCTGAAATCTCCCATTATTCATGTGACATCATGTGAATTAAATCGATTTTCTTGAGACCCATTCTTATTAGGGAGACAAAGATTCTCAATCTTCTGCATACTTTTCAGTTCGTACAGCTGCTAGACAGCCGTTTTGGACTCCGAGGGGAGTGGCGTTGTTTAGTTGTATGTAATAATAATAGGAATGTTCTCATCGACGAGACCGGAAAGAATGCACCTGACAGACAGGCCGACATGAAACGCTCACACCATTGAACACAAAGCCCAGGAGGTACGTAAAATTGTCCTTACCAAATGTAGACATTTAGGTACAAGCCCAATATCTAATCGTTCATGCTTAGTTCACTGATATGGCACTTGAGAGTGGATAACCCCAAGTATCGCTTGTCTAAGCCAACAACGAACACAACAGATAAATGGTCTCGCAGCCCACAACTTAGGCGAGAGCATACAAAAGATGAAACAGGAAGTAAGTGTATTTTGGACAAAACATCATGGCTCAAAATATCACCGAGGATATGTCATTTCGTTTACGGTCGTAATCAACACAATAGTGAGCGTTATTTTAAATGGGCCAGTTCCGATTGGTTTATTTTTAGGGTGAACACCAATCACTACAACAACTGCAAAATGATTTACTATCTTGTTTTCGTCGGATAGATTTGTCAGCCTACAGTCTATGATCATATAAGGTTAGAGCAACGTTAAGGTTCCTTTCAGTTAGTTTTAGATAAACTGCTGGTTTTTGAAAAGTTTCATGTAATAGATGCAGTGGCAGCTCGTGTCCACGGGATGTAGTATATTGAGGTCGGATCTAGTTTCATCCGCCTTCCATGTCCAGTTTTAACCCAATACATAACAGTCTTATGCTGACATTCTGTCAAACCTATAATTTTTGGGCTGCCGGAAAATTGGGTAACTGACACTACCTCCGTCCACTTTGAATGGCCATTTGCCAGCACCAATAAGGTGTCACCATAAACGCGCTCCTTGAGTACAACGTGCTCTTTCCGCTCCAACCAGAAAATACCTATTTTGTGAATTATCCGCTTGGGAAACCTGATCCTCCAAGCAGGTGAATTAAATAAATAAATAAATTTATTCTCATAGTACAGTACGTGAGGGACACCAGTTTACAGGCATCATCAAATCGTTACAGAAATAGAACCATATTATTCAGTCACAATTTACAGGCGGTAGCAAGATATGTTTTACGTGTACGCTGGAGATTATACATACACTTGATAAATGTTAATCCCAATAGCATAAAACATCCTTTTCACTTATGTACAATCGTTTCGGTGCACAGTTGGAAAAATCCGCTAGATTGTCGGTGAGTGCAACATTTCAGGGAATACAGAAGTATTGTTTTCGTATTAACAAAAAAACCAGGTCATTAGTGGACGGGTTACAAGTGCCTGGGAAAAAAATAAAGCTTGAAGTCAATTTTCATACATGATTTTGTTGTGTGCAGAATCCTTGAATTATAGTTCATTGATGTGTTATCTTGAAATCAGCGATATGTTTATCTCGTTTGATCTGCAATGTCATTGTTGGGAGTAAAATACATAAGCTTTAGACGCATTACTTAATGGATTTCTACTGCTTGTGGGGGTTTTCTTCGCGTGAGGATGGTTTATGAATTTCAGCTGTTCCGACAGGATTTGTGAATATTAACTGCTCAGCAACATTATGAATATAAGTTCGTCACATTATTTCAGGAATGTTGGGTTGTAGTTGGTGAGGTATACATGGTGCCCGACGAGCGTACATCTGTCCATGTGATGTTGCGGTGAGTTACTTACATATCGAATCTCTGTGTGGTAAGTCCAGCTGTCTAGAACTACTGTCAAAGCTTCGGGTGCTGCTTCTATTGCAGCATCTTCCTCACTCGTTCAGATAAAAAAGACTTGTTGGTCTACCACCTGATTGCTGTGAAGCCGGTTGACGGAAAAGTACCAGGTAAAGTTCAAAACCTTTTCTTTTCCTTATCTTGTACTTTACTAGTCTTATTCTCATTCTTTTGGGTAGATACTGTTGCTCTCTTATTCTCATAAAGCATAATTTATAGTGACAATATAGCTGTTGAAAATAGCTTTAGAAGAAGCCCTAAAACACCTTATTCCAGACTTCAGCCAGAGGAGGCAATAACCCAGGAACATTAACCCATCTCGCATACCGATTCTTAAGACCCGTGTACATCTCGCATTTTCTGGTACTACGTCTACATTGCTCAATCAATCACTTAAACAGCACAGGCAATACCAGGTGAACATGATACTACCTGTATCCATTGAAAGCCAGTACGTGATACACGGCAAAACAAAAAGGAACTCTCAAGACGTCACATGACCCCGAAAGCGTCATCTAGAAAAGGAGACGAATGTCAGGTCTTAAGCGTTATCGTTTTTAGAAATGATTGAGCATTTGAATGTGATTTTTGCAAACACTGCTTTTGTGACAATCGGGTGACAAGACCATATTATGAGTTTATGCGAAATAACCCATTCCCATGGTTCTGGTACATCTGCCCACTTTGTCGCCCTGGCACAGTCTCATACGGCGTGTCTGCGGATAGCAGAAACAGCACGTTACTCTCACATCTAGACACAGCCTCATGCAGCTCACCTGGTAACACCACACCGCCAGAACTTGGTGAAGACAGTAAGAGGGATACTCTAGCCAAACCGACTGGAAATACCAATCTTCATGAAGTGAAAACTAACGAGGTTACGCCTACAACATCAGGGGAAGGTGGAATTGCCACTTGCATTCACTAACGAGCTTGGCAACAAAGCAATGGCTAGTCAGAACTTGACAAGCTCCAAAGTAACTGACCCTCCAAGGGAGGACAAGCAGCCAAAAACCAAACCTAAGTCTGAGGTCAGTCGCTCTAATAGCGTGATCCTGTTTAACGTAACTGCGTACAGTGATAGCTTTCCCCGAACAACGGGTCCTGTTTGATCACGAATAGTGGTCTGAAATGTGCGGCAAATCAGTTCTGAACATAAGTTCGGTGAAATTGTGCAGGCCATACAGGGTTGTTCACGCACATCATCGTAAGCCACCCCCATTAAGGTAACACTGGGCTCCGCCGAAGAGGCTGAAATGATACTATTACTGTCCCATGCACTAACTATAGACAGGAGTTCCAGCACAAAAGTGAGACATGATAGGCTATGGGCTAACAGAATAATGGCGGAGCCACTGGAACTGATGCCTTCTGCCTCTACGGTCATACGCGGTGTTTCGGGAAGTGGAAACTGGCGCTGCTTGTGGAAAACACATGCATGGCCTACAGCAATGGAGATGGCTGTCATCGCAGATGGCCCTTGGTGCTTCTGGAGCAGTCTCGATTTTCCGACTACCTCGCACCACTCATCGCAGGCTGATTAGATCTCCAAGGCTGCTAAGTGTCAAGTTCAACTCCCAGGAACAGTTGGCCCTAGTACTTCAACGGTGGTACGAGACCAAGGGGAAATTGGAGGGCAAATCCGATGCTGTGAAAGCAGACCCCAAACCATAACGGGGTAGCAAACTGAGGCCTTAACACGTTCCTAGGCGTCGGCGACACTAAAGCGATGCGGTACTGGGAATAACAGTCAGTGTCACCCAACTGTCCTACCTGAATCTAAGGAAAACATGACAACAGACCGGTCCCATCGGAATCGGTCACCTAGTCCCAAAAGTAGGTTCCCTACAGGCAGGCAGCTTCACGTCATCTACCCCACAACACCCTGAAGTTGTGAGACTTAATGTAAGCTGTCTATATAGCAATATGAGAGGGCTGAGAGTGAAAGTAGGTGAACTCAGAAGCCTCCAGTCACACGTACACCTCAAAATAATCATTCTCACTGAAACCTGGCTAACCTCAACTATCCCCGACAACGAAATCAGTATAGGTGATATGGTTCTGGTCAGGAGAGACAGGCATAAAAAGGAAGGGGGAGTTGTTATATACATTGACAGGCGACTGAAATGTGTGCGTGCAATGGGCCCACCACATACTGAACTCCCAAGGTCCACATGGTGTTACTGCACCGTAGGCCAAGCACTTATCGGGTATTATCTACCGGTCACCCGCCTATGAAGCAGAGCACAGCCAACAACTGCTCAGCACCATCGCAGTCACGCGGGCCTTTGGCTATGACCAAATCAACATAGCGGGAGACTTCAATGCCCCATCACTG